ACCTTATTGTGAGGGGGGTATTTCATGAAAAGGGGAGACTAAACGATATTCCAGCAAGGGAGACCTGTGGGAGTTCCTAGTCTTAAAAGAGGGTTCGGGGGATTTTATCAGCTCCAATAAGGGAGGCCTTTCCGGGCTAATTTTGGAAAAGTAAGTCGTCTCCGGAGCAATTTCTAGCTGTTCTCACCGAAAAATTGATTGAAGTACAACCTTAAAGACGAACGACACGTTAAGCACTTATTTAGCAGAATATCTCACATTGTTTGAGAGGGGTCAAGAGGAATTCTGGGGGAGGTGGGAGCAGTGAGCTGATTGTTGAAATTGATAGACAAAGCGATAGACAAAGAAGACGTAGGGAGTATGGAGCGATCCTATCGGTCAATTTGGGTAGTTCTTATAGATTGAGGGAGAAGAAGGTGGACTAACCATCGGGTCTCTCGTGAGTTGCCATTAGTTAGCATCAGTTAGTTCGTCTAATACCTACCTCCTCTGTCTATCACAACCTCTTTCTTTCACCAATAGGACCGGTCCATATCTGTTTTGTCTTTTTTGTGTATAGCTTCGTCTATCAATTTCAACAATCGGTCCGCTTTCGCTCGGTTCCCTCTAGTTTGGCCCATCCATGAAAATACGTTACAATCTTAATCCAAATCGGAGTTATGGTGATTTGAAGTTTGCAGATCAAAAACTGTAGTATCAAGAGAAAGCCGTTTCAAACTCTAATCAGTGGCGTGGCGAGAATTGCGATGTATCGATTGTTCTGCCATTTAAACCTATGGTAAAGAATCGATTATTAAGGTGTTCGCTGCGAATACCCTGTTTATCGATCCTTTTCCATAGGTTTAAATGGCAGAACAATCGATACATCGCAAAGCACGCCACGCCACTAACTCTAATCCACCTTGTTTAGAGGAAGAACTTATCGGATTAAAATGCAACTTCATGCGTTCAAACGTCTGCTTCGAGATGCTTCAATTTATACATGTGTATGTCTCTCCGTATGTCATCGAGGAGGAGCGGAGACTGCAAGCGAGAGGGGTCGGAGAGAAAGCATCAAGACGAATTTTCCAGCTCAAGAGCTCGCACTGGAAGCTCCAATTATTACCGTTCCCCTTCGTTTACCGCGCGATAGAAACCTACTCGGAGTCGTTATAAAGATGCTAACGTTCTCAACCCCACGATCCCGTCTCTCGATGCCGAGCACTGCGAGCTATCTCCCGCATGAGGTCACCAAACAAGAAAATTTCCCGCGAATTTTTCTCGCCGTATATCTCATTCCCGCCCCGGCAGTCTGGTTTCGTTTCCTGTGTGCACGCTGCACAGAAATGCACGAATGCAGAAGGATGATTGTGCTTACTATATTAGTGATCGCATACTCGCTGCTGGAAATCTAGTAGACATTGGTTGATTTCGATCGGTGTTTATCACCTATAGTTACGTTTATCAGACACGTGATGAGCGCACTTTCAGAGATCTCACACTGGCTATTAAATTTCCTAGAGAGCATACTTTAGTAATCGGGAATCTAGTATACTATCGTGCACTCACCATGTGTCATTTTCATTCATTTCGATGCGTACACTGCTTCCTTTAAGGATTTTTAGTGTATTTTCCGAAGGAAATACACTATTGCATTCTCCCATGATGTCAGACCCAGACCTGAGACATTGTGAAGAGCACCGATCACGGGTCGTAGATCACGAAAATATATGCTATTCAAATTCATGTGTATATATATATGTATGTATATATATATGTATGTCTAGATGCTGATCGTCGTTAAATAAAATTAACTAACTAACTATGTACGTATGTATTTCCGCCTTTTGAAGATTTTTCGATTTTTGAGTGGTTATATCTTTCTTACGTTGAAAGATATTTTGACCAATTTTTTTGCATTTTGTAGAGACTCATTAGGACTACTATTCTGCGAAAAAAAATTGAAATTTGAGGCAATAGATTTTGAGGGGTGGGGCTCGAAAGTGGGGGGAGGTGAAATCTTGTCCACTCGATAACTCGAGCGAAAATGAATATTTTGAGCTGAAATTTTTATAGGTGGTAGTTCTCCCCTAGGACTGGTTTGGTATTGAATTTGAGCTAAATCGGCTGAGCCGTTTAAGAATGGCGAGCTTTGAAAGTTTTAGGCGAGGGGTGCGCGGCATGAGGGGAGCCGACCGGAGCAGGGCCGCACAGTGGGTCGGGGCTCGGGGGAGAAAGTTTTTGGACAAGCTGATCGTCGCACAGTGGGTCAGGGGGAAGAAGTTTTTGGACAAACTTTTCGTCGCACAGTGGGTCAAGGGAAGAAAGATGCTGGATAAATTGTTCGTCGCACAGTGGGAATAACTGTGCTGCTCTTATGCCTCAAGAAATTAATTCATTCCCTTACAGATTGATCCCCCCCCCCTTCGGAAAATACACTCTTCCCGCGGTGGACGCGCGGGTCGCTTAAGAAGACAGAACAACTGGAATGGACACTCAAACTAAAAAGCGCGCGCGAAGCGCGCGTCCTGGGGGGGCTTGGGGGGGCGAAGCCCCCCCCCAAAAAACCGGCGCGGAGCGAAGCGGAGCGCCGGTTTTTTTCTTCTTTTCTTTTCTTTAAAGATGGAAAAATCTCAGAACTTAGTGGGGACAACCTCCACACTTCTCACATGGGATACATCTCTTCCTGAACAAGAACAGTTTTTATTTGTTGTATATGTTTATTCCGACTTTTGATATGAGTGGTCACATTGTCTTGCCTACCGCTTTGTTTAACGGAAAACACCTTTAAAAACAGGCGCGGAGTAGGACAGAACAGACTGTAATCGCGTGGAACAGATAGTAACGGAAAGGATTGTTTCAGAATGGAACGGAACGGATAATACTAGAACATACTGTTATGGAACGATACGGAATGAAATGGATAGGAACGAATGAAAATTGAAAAGATTGGAATCGGATCGTAACGCAACAAAATTGGGGTCTGATATCAGAGCAGTGCTAATTTCTCCCGATCGAGGAAAAAATGGAGACGCTAAAACTTTTCGCTGTGGCAATAAAATAAAAATTCTGCTGGAAATAAAGTATTTGAAATCGATTTCTCATGTCTGTAATGCCGGTTTGGTCCCTTTTCCCTATTTGTACGACTTCTGCGAATGAAAGGTGCGACAATTTATGAGGTCAGAACGGAATTATAATGAGGGAAGCATTGTTTCGTATTTGAATCATTGGCAATATCTCCCGGCCAATCATTTCCTATTTCTTTCTTCAACGGTTATTGCGCAAAGAAAAATAATGACGGCTGTATCATGAAATAATTCATAACACGTAACATAATATAATTGGATACACGGAATTTTAGGTACCGTGCTTTGTAATTGAAAATATCTGTCTCGAGGAGTCAAATCACCACAAGGTCTCTCACATCCTCATTGCAGAAATTGAAGTATTTTCTCGAAACTTGGCGCTATATATTTTGCTATATAAGTGCATCCTGGGAACTTGCAATATTCGGAAAGTTAAAGATGTAAGACAGCTTTGGAGGAACTTATGAAGCATATTTAAATCAGTGGCGTGGCGTGCTTCGATATATATCGAATTACCCCATTTGAAGCTTTGATAAAGAATCAATTATTAAGGTGTTCGTTGCGAATATCTTGAAAATCGATCCTTTTCCACAGTTTTAAACGGTAGATCAATCGATATGCATCGCAAAGCACGCCTCGCCATTGATTTAAATTGGTTTTTCGAAGAAATCCGATCCGCGTGATATTGCGCCACCGGTTTCTTCGAAAAAGGAGTAATTATCGTAACTTACGAGTGAACAGAGAAAAGGGCAGCATAATGTGCAGCATATAAGAATGCGTTGACGAAGATGCAATGAAAAATATTTATTTGTAAAATTAGGGAAACAAACATTGGTTTTTGACTTAATGTGTAAACATGAGGTATCCAAAAAGGTACTTCTCTCTTTCTTATTACTTTACGGTGCTATTCCCGTTTTCCAACTTTTCGAAAACAATATTTGGTTTACCTTAAAAAATTTGATATCATATTATTCAGAATGTATTCCACGTCATGGTTCGGTACTTTCCTAAGATCCAAGTCATCACTGAAAAAAAAAGAATGGTAACATTTACTATAAGTCTTCTTGATTTTTTACACAGTGATACTATTTAGTGAACATGACCAGATTTATGGTAGTACTCATCAGAACTCTGCTGATAGGTACTTACCATTATATGGTAAATGCTACCATAGAGTCTGGTGTTTATTATCGTACTCATATCACTGGGTCAGAGTATGGTAAAATCTACCATGTTTTTTTTTCAGCGGATTAATTAATTTTCCCCCCTAGACACCGGTCTTGAATCCGCGTAATGGCATGCGGTTCTCGTCTTTGCATCACTCAGGTTCGCCGTGTCTGATTCCTGGTACAAATTAGGACGCCTGTTGAACTTTGATACGGCCCCCGAACACCTGTTATGTAATTACCCATTGGAGGTTAGAGTGCAGCGGGTTGTGTCGCTGAAAGGGCAGCGCGATAAGAAGGGTACTAAAGGGATCCCCTCGGCCGACGGCCCCTGCCCCCTCTTTCCCTTCCCCTGCTCGCTAATCAGTGTGAAGTAGGTATCGCCGCCAAATTGGAATAATTCGCCCACGCGCTTCATCGCGTTGCCGTAGCATGGTAAAGCGTGAGGAATGCCAGAGCGCCTTCGATTTTTTGTATATGCAACATGGCCAACATGCCCTTAAAATTATCAAATTTTTGGTGGGAAGCAAAAGCTTCTCGCTATTCTGGGAGATTTATCAGATAATTTTAAGAAACAACATTTTTTTCAACACTGTACCAAATAACGCTAGTTCCTTTTTGCTAAATGCGATCCAGATAAGGCTCCTACTATGTAATGAGCTCCATCTTCGGTTACGTTAAAATTATATGTTTGTCCCTGGTTTAATCTAAAAATTACAACACATAGACGAATGAACTATTATTTATTTTCCTCTTGTGTATGTTACAGTGGTGCTGCAGGCGTACGAACTCATGGTTGAGTACAGCAACACGGCGGTACGCGGGTCCACAGTCTTCCTTCGGTGCACAGCGCCCTCTTTCGTTAGAGACTTTATCACAATAACCTCCTGGGTCCAAGACTCTGCCTTCAACATATACCCATCAATTAAAGGAGGTGAGTCATTTTTTTCTTCATAAGTGAATGCCTCGTGAGACATCAAGAAACTAGGCAACATGAAATGCAGTTAGGCTGCTACTGGTTAAATCCATCCAGCAGGAAGATTATCGGAATTGATTTAAAAAGTGATGGGCAAAGACTTCTTTTCTTTTGGCTTCAAAGGGAAAATTGAGCGATCCTGTAGAGAATTTGCAGGTGTCAGACATTCGATGAATTTCGTGTCTAAGTGGAAACTACTAAGTGAACTGAACACGAGGATACCCTTGCTCCATGAATTGAACAATTATTGGAGAAGATATGACAAAATGATCTAATCTGCTAAAATACGTGCGTTTAAATGGGAAATGCCACCAGATGACGTCATTAGGTGGTGCATTTTCTCACTTTTAAATCTACTTTTAGACTATTTTCTATATTAGAAAAAAATTATGAAAAATACTGTGAAATCATCTCTGTAAGCATTTTCAGATGAAGCACTAAAAAATTTGCTCGCAAATTCTCCATTGGGTGATTCGGGTAGTTGCAATGGGCAAAGGAGGTACGTAAGAGACCGTAAGGTAACAGTAATCTACGAGAGACCCTGTTAGTTCAGTTAGTCCATCATTTTCCCGCTTAGTCCATAACAATCACCCGCCTCCGTCAATAGGATTGCTCCATTTTCTCTCTGTCCTTTTGTCTATAGCATTGTCTATGAATTTCACTGATCCGCCCGCAGTTAACCTTTAAATCATTATCGATTCGGTTTTCTTCAGCCTTGTACTGGCTAAAGTAATGATTATTCACATCAAGAAGCCTTTTTTTAATCGTGGAGGGGAAAAATTCGAAGCTTCGGTTGATTTGACGAAATGAACATAAAGTATTACACATCTTTGGTGATTTTGAGGTTCTCCTATTTTGCCGAATTCAGATGTTTTGCATGTCGAAATTAACGCAAAGTATGCCGAGAACAATACAAAATTTGGATGGGTTATTTCTGACTTCCCATCTCATATTACTGGGAATTAGTGTACCTGGAAACGGAAACGTTTCCCTTAGTGTACACTGGAAAAAAAAAAACATTGGATCTAGAGTCCAGGTTCTTGAAAACATTGACAGGAAAAAGTACTCTTGCTTCAATCGGATTTTTGCTTGAATCAAAACGAAATCCGCTCAAATTAAGAGGCTTGGTTCTTGATTTAAGCTAGATTCTGATTGAATCAAGAGTACTTTTTCTTGTCGATGTTTTTAAGAGTCTGGACTCTAGATCCAATGTGTTTTTTTCTCCAGTGTAAGCTTCTACGTCATAAAATAAAAGCGTAAATAATGCAACATTGCAATGAAATATCCTTGTTGTAGCCTACGGTGCCAGAATGAGAGTGTGTGTTGATCAAAAGAAATGACAGTTGCATGAAAAATCGCCCTAGGCGATTTTAGAGACTTACTTGTTTTCGCTTCTTCCTCCTCCTCGCGATGTCACTTTTTCCTCTCCTCTTGAAAGATGCTCGCGGATCACAATGATTCTTCCATCTGATTTATTTTCAAAGTAACAGCTCGTTCTAATGCGAGACAAACATTTTTATTTTCCAAATGAACAACTTGTCGCACGCTCGGCATACAGCATTGAAAAATACGCGCGGAAGTACATTTGTGTCTGAACACACACAATTCGTTTTCTTGCAGTATAGGGGTAAAAAGTCTCTGTTACATATCGACGGTGAAACTACCAAACCACGTATCTCGGTTTGCGACGTCGCAGACTTCCTGTCATACTTTAGTTTTTAAATGAAAAACTACTTAATATCCAGTCTTGAAAATTTCCATGATTTTTCCTCTTTGTGCGGAGAAAATTCCGTGAAAATTTCAAGGAATGATATTGATTTGGTCTACTTCAAAAAAATAAAATGTGAGCGTAGATTTTTAAACACCGCAAACGAGATACGTGGTTTGGTAGTTTCACCGTCGATATTCAGCCGTGTCAGAAATCGAGGGAGGTCACCTAGGGATAACATAATCGTATCTGCAAATCTGTGTGCTGTAGTTGGCAGTTTATTTTCAGGGCTCGCTACTTCTCGTTCCTAACATAAGATACGGCCTCTAAAATCTTGACACGCGAAAAACTTGTGTCAAAGTTTTGCAATCCTAAATGTCCGGATTTTTCCGATCCTTTGATTTGTGCTATATCTTTATAGAGGGACCGGACCCCAGGTAATTTTCATCGTATATTCAAGGGAGCCAAAATGTATATTTTCGGCCTTGGGTTTCATTATGGTCTGATTTAACCCAACAGGTCATCTGTAAGACACTCAAATCTACAATTACGTTCTTTTCTAACTCAGAACTCTCAATGTATCCAATTTTTGAAATTTTTCTTTTTTTTCAAACCATCTGTAGAGCTTTATTCCAAACTCGTCGAATCGGTCAATGTTAGGTCGTTTTAAAAAGTTCCAGTACATATCAACAGTTATTAACTTTCCCATGCTATTGCCGAAACTAGATTTTCAACCAATATAACATTATCTTTCTTTGCCCCGGACAAAATAGTTACCAAACGCATATCGACGGTGAAACTACCAAACCACGTATCTCGTTTGCTCACATCTTATTTTTTGAAGTAGACCAAATCAATATCATTCCTTGAAATTTTCACGGAATTTTCTCCGCACAAAGAGGAAAAATCACAGAAATTTTCAAGACTGGATNCAATCACCCGCCTCCGTCAATAGGATTGCTCCATTTTCTCTCTGTCTTTTTGTCTATAGCATTGTCTATGAATTTCACTGATCCGCCCGCAGTTAACCTTTAAATCATTAGCGATTCGGTTTTCTTCAGCCTTGTACTGGCTAAAGTAATGATTATTCACATCAAGAAGCCTTTTTTTAATCGTGGAGGGGAAAAATTCGAAGCTTTGGTTGATTTGTTGAAATGAACATAAAGTATTACACATCTTTGGTGATTTTGAGGTTCTCCTATTTTTCCGAATTCAGATGTTTTGCATGTCGAAATTAACGCAAAGTATTCCGAGAACAATACAAAATTTGGATGGGTTATTTCTGACTTCCCATCCCATATTACTGGGAATTAGTGTACCTGGAAACGGAAACGTTTCCCTTAGTGTACACTGGAAAAAAAAAACATTGGATCTAGAGTCCAGGTTCTTGAAAACATTGACAAGAAAAAGTACTCTTGCTTCAATCGGATTTTTGCTTGAATCAAAACGAAATCCGCTCAAATTAAGAGGCTTGGTTCTTGATTTAAGCTAGATTCTGATTGAATCAAGAGTACTTTTTCTTGTCGATGTTTTTAAGAGTCTGGACTCTAGATCCAATGTGTTTTTTTCTCCAGTGTAAGCTTCTACGTCATAAAATAAAAGCGTAAATAATGCAACATTGCAATAAAATATCCTTGTTGTAGCCTACGGTGCCAGAATGAGAGTGTGTGTTGATCAAAAGAAATGACAGTTGCATGAAAAATCGCCCTAGGCGATTTTAGAGACTTACTTGTTTTCGCCTCTTCCTCCTCCTCGCGATGTCACTTTTTCCTCTCCTCTTGAAAGATGCTCGCGGATCACAATGTTTCTTCCATCTGATTTATTTTCAAAGTAACAGCTCGTTCTAATGCGAGACGAACATTTTTATTTTCCAAATGAACAACTTGTCGCACGCTCGGCATACAGCATTGAAAAATACGCGCGGAAGTACTTTTGTGTCTGAACACACACAATTCGTTTTCTTGCAAGTGTAGGGGTAAAAAGTCTCAGTTACATATACAGCCGTGTCAGAAATCGAGGGAGGTCACCGAGGGATAACATAATCGTATCTGCAAATCTGTGTGCTGTAGTTGGCAGTTTATTTTCAGGGCTCGCTACTTCTCGTTCCTAACATAAGATACGGCCTCTAAAAACTTGACACGCGAAAAACTTGTGTCAAAGTTTTGAAATCTTAAATGTCCGGATTTTTCCGATCCTCTGATTTGTGCTATATCTTTATAGAGGGACCGGAGCCCAGGTAATTTTCATCGTATATTCAAGGGAGCCAAAATGTATATTTTCGGCCTTGGGTTTCATTATGGTCTGATATAACCCAACAGTTCATCTGTAAGACACTCAAATCTACAATTACGTTCTTTTCTAACTCAGAACTCTCAATGTACCCAATTTTTGAAATTTTTCTTTTTTTTCAAACCATCTGTAGAGCTTTATTCCAAACTCGTCGAATCGGTCAATGTTAGGTCGTTTTAAAAAGTTCCAGTACATATCAACAGTTATTAACTTTCCCATGCTATTGCCGAAACTAGATTTTTAACCAATATAACATTATCTTTCTTTGCCCCGGACAAAATAGTTACCAAACGCATATCGACGGTGAAACTACCAAACCACGTATCTCGTTTGCTCACATTTTATTTTTTGAAGTAGACCAAATCAATATCATTCCTTGAAATTTTCACGGAATTTTCTCCGCACAAAGAGGAAAAATCACAGAAATTTTCAAGACTGAATGTTAAGTAGTTTTTCATTTAAAAAATAAAGTATGACAGGAAGTCTGCGACGTCGCAAACCGAGATACGTGGTTTGGTAGTTTCACCGTCAATATCTGTTTTCTCAACCTATCGACATGTCTCGATCCGAAGAATCTGAAAGGCCTCGTGATGATTCTGAGAAGTGCCTGTGCGGCTCACGGAGAAGAAATAAGGCCTTGTTCGTATTTTATAGAATATGGAAAAGAATTTCACGTCTCAGATCTTCCGCAGGGCGAGCGGCGCGTCATGTCTTTCATCTTGAATGCACAAAAGAATTTCAAACGAAGAGAATCGTGCACCAGTCCGAAGCCCCCCACGTGTGCCTTCGGGCCGTTTTCGCACTGCTTTTGATGTACGCCAATTTGAACTCCTGAATTTTTTAGTACCAAGAGGTTTTTGTTCTGGTGAACAGTGTGTCAATAAGACAAATGTGCGAGCCTCATAAAAATAGCATCGTAAAATTCCTGACGTGAACCGACACATCGGGTTAAATATTGTGTCACATGTTTCTCCATTGATATTTTGCGTGGAGCACAGTCAATACATTTAAAATTTCAAATCTTAACTTATTAGTAAGTAAGTGTCGTTTTGTGCGCACGTAAATTCAAGCTTTGAGCCTGCCAAAACACACTCGAATCAAATGAAGTACCAAAATATTTACAATGCGCTTTAGACCGGCAGAAATATTTTTAGCCCCTTGAAACATTCAGTCATTATTATATAACGTATAAGTTTCTTTTCAAAGGTTGTTGTGACCAACATTGCCCCCCCCCCCCATTATGGTAAAATATTAGCGCTGTTTTGAGTCCTTTTCTATTTTTGTATCAGCTCAATAACGCAAGTCTGACTTTTTGTGTATCAATTGAGTCGTATTTGCGCGCACAATTCATGCTATGATGCTCGAGACTTAGAAGCAAAGAAGTTATACGCAAGAATAATAATTGGAAACGTAGAAGCTACGCAGAAATAATCACATACCTTTAATCTCAAACATCAAATCCCTATCAGTCCAATACTTCTTGTAGTGACACTCATGTTCAGTGGGCTAATCATTCAAATGGCGATGGACAAACCTATAGACAAAGGAGACCAAGGGGAATTGGAACGATCCTTTTGGTTGAAACGGGTGTTTGTTAAGGACTAAGGGGGGAAACGATGGACTAATTATAGGGTTTCATGTGGGTTAAAGTTTGTTACAAATAATCTATCACACACCATCGTAGTTTTTGTTCATTGCAACCACTCGCTCCCGCCATTAGGATCACTTTATTATCCCATTGTCTTCTTTGTCTATTGTTTTGTCAATAATTTTCAATAACCAGACCGCTGATTGTAGTTCTGAAGATTTGAATCGATAGGAAAAGTCATTGTTGAATCGATTCCTCAAAAAATGGATTCTAAAAACCCGATCTTCTAATCGCATCCACTGGAAAAACAGTCACTTGGATCTAGAGTCTAGACTCTTAAAAACATTGTCAAGAAAAAATACTCTTGATTCAACCGGATTTATGCTTAAATCAAAAGGAAATCTGCTTAAATTAAGAGGCTTGGCTCTCGACTCAAGCAAAAATCCGATTGAATCAAGAGTGTCTTTTCTTGTCAATGTTCTTAAGAGTCTGGACTCTACATCCAAGCGACTTTTTTTCCAGTGTCGATTCTACCTGACCGATTCAAGTCGATCTCAGCCCTAGAATCGCATCCTTTCGACTAGAGTCCCTTTATACCCAGAGTTAAGACAACTCACTTTTGGTTGGGCCAGGGATGGGCTGAAAGTGGCCTAAAAAAAAATCCAATTCTGATTGGTTCTCGCTCATGGAGGCCGAAACGAGTGCACCAAGATGGCGGTACCTCGAATGTGAACAGGAATAATGAAAATATTACCTAATTGTGGTTTATCAAGAGTAAATTGTTATTACCATCGGTCCAAAATGAAAATAGATTAAGAAATTATTCACAAACCAATCTCATTTTCTTTTTAATTGATCAATTTGTTGATGTTGTTGTTTTTGTGTGACAGACATCGCAGGATTCCTGATCCTTATCCCTCAATATCGTTCGTTTGGGTGCACTCGTTTCGGCCTCCATGGCCAGCCAAGGCCGGCTGCCAGTCAGCTGATAATCGAGTTGTCTTAACTCTGGGTATAAAGGGACTCTACTTTCGACAGGAAGAGCTACGAGTCTCTTTTCACGGCGGAACCCAAGGATCATCCCTTAGATCTCTGATCAAGCGGTCGGCGGAGCAATGTGCCAACGGCGGGGGTTGACGACTCGTCTGGGGTTCTTTCTTGGAAGCGAGAGAGCGGAGTGATGGGGTGTCAGCCCCGGGTCGAGTCACAAAGGAGCCCCCCCGAGTCGGACGGGGACGATAAAGCCCCCTCTTTGGGGTCTTTGTTATCCCATTTGCTCCGGCCGGGTGCGTCGTTTAAGCATCCTCACACTCACACTTACACGCCGCCCGGGGGTGGCGGGGGATGCGATAGCCGCCCCGGAGCGCCTGTGCTCCGTCAAGCGGGCAACCCGCAACACAACGTCGGCGTCTTGCTCCTTCCTTTTCGCGCCAACGCTGTTGGCTGCTCCAACCGTAATCGGGTATTTTTTTTTTTTTTTTTTTTTTTTGGCCACGGACGTTACATTTTGACACTTCAAAGTGTCATCAAGGGTTATTTATTTTGAGTGAAAAATGTAAAAATATCCGTAAACCCATGCGAAAAAGATTCCCCTCTTCCCTGCAAATTATTAAACAGTTAACTCTCAGAAAAAGCTACTAGGGCGTCGCGAATTTAGGGCTTTCATTTGAAGCACCCTCTTGAAGATTGAATCTTCTCATCAAATAGTGATCTTAATTACATTCTAATTGCACAAAAAGGTTTGGAGTTCAGTTGGAAAGAAGTTCGATTGATTGAGAAAGAGGGTTGGATGTTATGATAAAGTAAGCTATGCCTGCAATTTTTTGGATGCAGCACGGATATCCCGTAAGCACGAATAGCTGCATCCATACAATATTACTGAAAAATACTGAAGCATCTTCAATTTTTCCAACTCGTTGTGAGGTTGTGACGAAATTTAGCAACGTTGTTGCATTTGTAGGTTGTCGTTACACAAATGAACGGCGATTCGAATAAGTAACCAAAGAAATAAAGAATGAGACGAGCATAGCTAATGCATTTTAGTAAATAAATAGGACGTTATATTTTTTTAAGGCGCTTACCCATACATATGATTTTATTCCCAGTCTCCCATTTCACTTTTTCAAAGTCATTCTCATTCAATTAATCTGAAATTGTGTGATTCATATCGCACAAAAACGTTACCGGTTAACATGTGTGAAGTTGATATTGGCGAGAATTTTACGGAAACGTTATCGGTAGATTTTGCGTTCGGGAACGTTATGCGCCATTTTGAAGTTATATTTGGATGTATTTATGCTAAAAGGAACTATGTGCACAGGGTTTGCGTGTAGTTCCTTTTAGCATAAATATGTCCATTTCTCCTTGCGCTTCAGCGTTTAAGATGAAGTTGAATAATATTGCCACGCACTCAAAACTTTTTTCTTTCGGATTCGAATTTTTCGAGAGGAAAATTCTATGAGTGGTTGGCCTTAAACTGTATTCATACAATTTTTTTAATCCAAAATATCAATGGGATTATTTCCTTTTAATTCGGGCGAATTGACCCTGGTTGCCCTCGAAAGAATATAATTCTAGCACACAGAAAAGAAGGGGAAGGTCACTCCAATGTATGACCTATATTCTCGATGATTGGCTGATTATTTTTTCTATGTTCCTCCCCCTTTCTCAACATTTTGACCTCACATTTCCCATTTTGACCGATGTCCACTTTGGCTAACTGTTGTCGACATTTAGCACATTCCTATGTTACATTCTAGTGCGACTTGGCTGAACAAAAATTGCGCACCACCCCCTCATGAGAGGTATCTTAATTCCTCTTTTTTTTCTTTTTTTTTTAAACAGATGGAAAATATCATATGCTGCCAAGTGGAGAACTTTTAATTCGAAAAATTACAGACGCAGACAGGTATAAAGAATACCAATGTAGAGGTGTCAACAAGCTCAGCGGCGTTTCGCTCGTTAGTTCCAACACAGCTCGTTTCACTGTCACGGGTAAGTTGAATCCATTGCCTATCCGAAGTATCTCTAAATGTTCTGCTCTGAAAAATCATCAGCGCAATCACTCCTTCATTTTCCCACAAGAAATAGGATTCCTTGATTGATTCGCATGTACAGAATGTACTCAGCATTTCACATGGTCAGAGAGTGATCATTTCTAAATTGTTAGACATGTTTACTAAAGTGCTTGAACTGAAATAACCCTGCACCAAAGCAGATATTGCGACAGTGGTGATTTTGCAAGTGGCAGTTCCCCCACTTAAATCCTTTGTAAATATCGATTTTATGTGAGTGCCTCACCAAGAATCGATTGTTTTACATACATTTGAATGGAGGAAAAACAGTGTTGCCAGCTTTCAAGAATCGCCAGGGCTGTAGCCAGGGGGGGCGAGAGGGGGCGTCGCCCCCCCAAGTGAGATTTTTCGCCCCCCCTAGTGATATTGCGGGGTTTAATTAACTTCATTATTTATAGTCCCGGACTTTAGTCAAAAGTTCGGTTATTATTCCTCAATCCTAAAAGAGTTGGTGAATCAACTTATCAACAAGTTATTTGTGGAGTTGTCTTACAGCCAGGGCGCACACGCTGATCGCAGATAGCTTGTTTTTGAAGATGAGGTGACAAGCGACAGGGCATACAGAAAAAAAGGAGGTCTTTGCATTGCGGGCATCTTGGAATTTTTTTGATGACGTAGGTCGGCACAGCGACTTTAATCATCGATTTCCTTGAAAATGGTGTAATTTATGGAAAAGAGTCATTCTATAATTCTCATGGCACGCTGCGACGTGGCGTGCTGCCAGCTCGAAACGCGCACCGACGCCTACAAACCTAAGGGGATACTTCAAGCATTGCGCAATGCGTGAAGTAGCCCCTTAGGTTTGTAGGCGTCGGTGCGCGTTTCGAGCTGGCAGCACGCCACGTCGCAGCGTGCCATGAGAATTATAGNTTTCCTTGAAAATGGTGTAATTTATGGAAAAGAGTCATTCTATAATTCTCATGGCACGCCGCGGTACTGTAGGCTTTCTGCATGCTCGTTGGATAATCGGCAAAACTCTCCACCTGAAACTGACTCCATTTGTATTTGGTTCCCTTCAATAAATTAAAGTTCACTCTTAAATGACAAGGGTAGATTCAACCAATCACTTCGGTCTCTTCTTGCACCTCCGTTTGCGACGTTGCAGTTTTTTTCTCCTTTTAATTAGGTTTCTTTTTTTTTTTAGAAGTCGGCGGACTATGTCTTAAAATTTGCCTAAGACCATCATAAAAACTTAACAACATAAAGTCACACGAAGTTTAGTTCAATCGCAGCCATCCTATTAATCGCGTGAGACAATTTGACAAGACGTAATTTTTTAAATATATCGATGGCTTAGTGCAAAACCACATTCCTCCGTTTGCGATGTAGCAGACTTCTTATCATACCTAAGATGGACTGCATTTTGCAATTTGGAGCTATAAACTCTGGCGCATCTGAAAAAATACTTATGAGCATTGGGAAACTAATTGCACATATACGTTGTTTTTAAACCGGGCCGGAATTTATAGTTCCTAATTGCAAAATGTAGTCCATATGGACCGCGTTAAACAGAAAGGAGCCAAGCCACATCAGCTATTGCCAAATTTAATTTGGCAATTTAATTGTTTACATGAAAACGGTTGTGCGGATTTTTGTGCAAATTTCAGTGAAAATTCTCCACAGTTTGAAGCAAATTCTTTAAAAATTTCAAAGGAATCCGCGCAAACGTTCTCTCGTAAAAAAATGTATTGCCCACTTAAATTTGGCAATAGCTGATGTGGCTTGGTTCCTTTCTGTTAAACTCGGTCCATATATTCTTTGGCAAACTAGTCAACGTAATTTCTTGAAAACTTCCCGGTTTTGCTATTCTGATGTAGCCAAAATAATTTTATAAATTTTAAGCCATTAGTTGGCTTGTTTCTCTTAGGAAATATAAAATTAGAGCGGAAATTTCGAAAATTTGCAATCGAGATAAACTTTTTTGCATGTTTCACTAATAAATGTTTTCCCTAATGCCTCGCGTCCGAAAGCACATTGTTCTTAAATCATTTTTTGCCCCCCCCCCCCGCGACCTACATATTTATCGCCNGTAAATATCGATTTTATGTGAGTGCCTCACCAAGAATCGATTGTTTTACATACATTTGAATGGAGGAAAAACAGTGTTGCCAGCTTTCAAGAATCGCTACTGTATTGCAATGGGATACGAATCTGAAAAACAATCGCTCGAACTTGCTCGGAAAGCTTCCTATCCGCAAGGATGTCGCGCGTCGTTTTAGCTTTCTCGTTTGCATTCCCTGATTGCAGTATGTATACCTTTCGAGATATTATGTAGTCAGGTTTTGTAAAATAAAACGAGATGTTGTGTTAAATGATAAGAGAGCCTCGGTTTTTTTTTAAAATGATATCTTAAATTTTTGGGCTAATCATTGAATTGAGAAAGAAGATGTCAGGAAAAAACGTGATGTTCCGTTTCAGCTCTATTGCCATTTGCTCCGACCGTTAAGAACACTTGCTACTTTCTGTTTTTTGAGCGATAAAAGCAGTAGCCTATTCAAAAATTGATTTTATAGTGTACTAACTTCTTTTATCAGGGAACTGGCTGTAAATAAAAAATCGTATTTTAAAGCGATGCTTTCTGAAAGATGGAAAGTACCCTAGCAAAACAGAGAGCACACTCAGAAGGAGTTACATAAATGTAAATATTGTCGTTTTCCTGTTTCCAACAAACAGAATCAATAGTTTAAGGTCGAAGCTGAAAGTCACCTTTTCCTATGGAGTTTTAGACCGATTTCAAGTGACTTATTCGGACTTGTATTGTGTTTTGACTTAAGTGATTTTAAATGGGAAGATCGCAAAGTAAAAACGTTTTCGAAATTGAAATCGCTTTTGATTCACTTCGTGTTGGTCTCTCGTTCTTACGACAACTCACGACGAGTCACATTAATGTAAATATTGTCGTTTTCCTGTTTTCAATAAACAGAATCAATAGTTGAAGGTCATAACAGTAAAAGCTGAAAGTCACCTTTCCCTATGGAGTTTTAGACCGACTTCAACTCACTTGTTCAGACTTGTATCGTGGTTTGACTTCGCTGATTTAAAATGGGAAGATCGCAAATAAAAACGTTTTCGAAATTGAAATCGCTCTGGATTCACTTCGTGTTGGTCTCTCGTTATTTTTAGGTAAAGAAGGGCATATTTTACGATTAGATCTCTTATATTGTCCTTTTTATTGAAAAACAACTATGGTTGTATTCTTCGGGCTGATAGTTAAGTACCTATTCCAATTTGATTCTTCTATTCATTTCTGTAATTATACTCCCTGTTTGGAGCATTCCCGCCCTTCAACAGCCTACGGAAGACAGACGTGAGTCTTTGCATTCATTAGCATTTAGCGTATGCCTTAACATAGCGAACAGAACCGAACTGAAGCTATTTTACGCGACAGATTTGAATTCAGATCCATCATTTCAGCATCTCATTCAGGACCTGCATGAGAATTCAATTCAAACCATTTCAATATCCCACCCCAACAAAATGACTGAGTCAATTGTCACCGATCAAAGGATAAATATGATATTTAATTTCCAAGACGTTGGTGAGCTGTTCAACTTTATTTTCCACACTATATCTCAATCAGAACATCCAAGACTGAACCATGAAGCAGAGAAAGATCCGGGACATAGCGCAAACGGCAGGAAAAATCTAATGGATGGAACTTTACCTCGTTATTGCATTAAAATTGATGAAATTTATCACCTGTGGACACAAGAAGGGTGCAGTAAAGAAATAAACATACCATACCTCGAACTAGCTGATTGTTCATCTCTGAGTGATTCGGTTTTCAATGCAACTCGCGGTTTCTATCGCAACAAAATTTGGAATTTTGGGAACCATCTAATTTTCCTTGTGAAAAATGTCGGTCAAAATATCAGAGAGTTCACACCGAAGGCACTCAGCAACACAAATTTTTCGAATTTCGAAACAAACAAGGATCTTACCCTAGTAGCAGAACCACAGAAGGAAAAGATAAATACTATGAACGAAAGTTATTTTTTTTATATAATGCATGCATACAAAAGTGTTAAAAGTGAACATTTTTATGTAACCATTATATAAAAAAATGTTATAATTTTCGTGAGCTTTTCGCGAACATACTAAAAATTCTTCTAATTCGCGAAAAGCTCACGAAAATGATTACCTATTTTTTTATATAATCGTTACATAAAAATGTTCACTTTAACACTTTCGTATGCATGCGTTATATAAAAAAATAAAAAATGTGTGTATAAAAAAAATTACCTTATCTAGCTTTTATCATTATTCATATATTACGGTCAGGTCTGAACTTTGATTTTTTTTTATATAAGCGTTACATGTTTTTTTATATAAAACGATCATTTAGATAACAGATATGTTTTTTTTATACTTTTTTTAGAAAAGCAAAAATTTGTTGTGCTACTAGGGTACCTTATTATTTTGTTTCAAATTCTTTTGGCGCTTCTTCAAAAGCCAGAAAAGTGTCATATGCCACCCAGATGGTTGCGTGAGATACGACCCGTTCGCAGAGAACCTAATTTTTTATCAGGACTGGAGCGAGATTGATGAGGATTTTTTTGACTTTCCTCGGACAAACATGCATAGAAAACCAATACAGTACTTGGTGGACTTTTCCAGACGTAAAGGTATGCGAACACTTAACGATGCAAGTTGGAGTGATTGGTATACCTTCTTTTTAACCGTGCTTGAACATTTGAAAAACACACTGAACTTCACTCTGAAGTATGACTCGAACTTCGTCGCAGACAATTTTGAAGTAGAGGATGCTCTGAGACACGACGTTGATTTGCTCTTGTATGAAACTGGAATTATTTTAGACGGGTCTGATTATCCCAATCTCGATTTTTCTGTTAGTGTTGAGACGAGTGCTCTGTGCATCGCCACACCGCACACCGGTTACATGTCGCAAGGTCTGGTGATTTTCAAGAGTTTTTCACCGATTGTTTGGATTTTCATCTCTATAACGATTGCCACTCTTATAGTAATCCAATATTACTTCCAGTACTTGCAGTGCACATTATTCCACCGTCTCTACACAGAGGCAGAGGTGGATTATTATAGAGAGACTTCTTCCCTGTTGACTGTCTACGCTTATTTCATTTGTGGTAGCCCACCGTCTTTACGACTCGGTCGCTTGTTTACAGGGAAGGGCCTCTTTTTAATTTTCAGCTTTTCTACGATTATTATTTCCACAGTTTTCTTAAGCGGAATGACAACTTTGCTCAGCGACAGAGTTTTGTATCCAGAAGTGGACTCCCTAAAAAGTCTAGAAGAATCAAACATGATCATTCAAACTTTTGAGGACCCAAAAGCTGAAATGAATTTTTTTCACCATTTGAACCTGTCTGAGGCACTGCGAGAAAAACTAGTAGGCAGCTTACATTTTTACACCTCTCAGGTGGGTGGAGAGGTATTTACATTTACTGAAAAGTATTATGACGAAGGCTTTATAAATGAAACTGATCCCACGAATTACTTTTTGCTTCTGTATAAATACATCGGGAATGCGATTGAAGAGGTTAAGAAAAATTTGCTATCGGTATCAGAGACGGACGCCGTATTGGTGAGTGTACCTTTCTCATCGAAGCCCAAAGAAAATATCCTCATGAAAGAATTTTTGCTTAAACAATGGTATGAGTATCATGTAATTGCTGAATGCCTCTTGACGTATCCGTTGATCTTTGCATTTGCGAAGCATTCTTTTCTCTTCGAAAAATTAAACCAGATAATGGCTCAATATTCTGAAACTGGACTCGCCAGAAGAATTTTGGAGACTGTTTTAACGAACGATATGAAGTTGGGCGTGCCTTACGCTGAAAATAGTCCAGAGCCACGAGCGTTTGATTTTAATGATTTACAATCGGCATTCATTGGTCTTAGCGTTGGCTTGTTCATAAGTTTCCTCGCTTTTGTTGGCGAGCTTTTGTTTGATTACTTTCGACACTCGGCAATTGTAAAATTCCTAATAAGATTTCAAGATTCCCTATGTAAGAGGGGCCGGAACTGAGTGTGATGGATGACTTTTCGACGCAAAAAAGGAAAAGGAAGGCTGAATTAAACAATGTCAATGAACGGTGTATCGAATGACCTCTGTTGATTCAGGAAATGAATTGAGCGATGAAGCGATGACCTCACTATGCCTATTCCAGGCAGATAAAAAACATTTTCAACCATTAAAACACTCGCTGATGAAAAAATTGACACAGTAATTTGAGTTTTTTTTTTTTTTTTTTTTTTTTTTTTTTTTTTTTTTTTTTTTTTTTTTTNTTTTTTTTTTTTTTTTTTTTTTTTTTTTTTTTTTTTTTTTTTAAATATATTTATTAAGTAAATGGGCTATGTTACGTACAAGATTTTAGACACATACAAAGGGTCTAATATGCTAGGAGCAAAATTTAAAATTGCCTAGTCCCCGACGTAAATAGCCTAGATGCTGAACGTCGTTAAATAAAATTAACTAACTAACTATGAAGATATACTAACTTAAACTTAATAAATCCCTGGTATCGCCTGAGGGCATAGCTTCGGGAGAGTTGATTTGGGCATAGAGTTATTTACATTTTTGCTGTTTATATTATACATTTTAATCTTAAATTCTAATGTTTTCTTCATGTACTTTTATATATATATTATATATATCAGTTCTGTCTGTTACCTAGCATTAAATCTAATATATTATGTTTTATGTATTAGTTGTTTCAATTATTTTACTGCCCTCTCTATTTTCACTCTTTAATTTACATTAAAAAGAAGTATGTTCTGGCGTGTTGATTTCGCTGCAGCTACATGGAGGAGCGTCTATTAGTCGCCTTTTTTCGAGATAAATCGTCTCTTTTCGAGATAACTACCAATAGCACCGTGACCCGATAGGAATTGAGTCACATAAAAATCCGGATACCCGTGCAATAATTTGAGTATAGTAACCAACAACAGACTTCATAGTGGCAAAAATCGGAATCTTAGTAGAAGTCTACCTAACTCCAAACTCCACCACTAGCCCACCAGTTCTACCAGAAGTTTCGTTATCTTTACCCAGTGCTATCAATGTGTTAAAAAGTAAATAGACTTGGATACTTTGAAAATAAAATGCTCGGCTCCAGCAAGAATTTTATTNGGGGGGGGGTAGACGGGACTTCCAGTTGGCAACTACGAGGGATTAGTGCCCATGTATGATGGCAATACAACTGATCTTGCTGAATCAGAGCCTTAACTAGTCCCAAAACCAGAAAAATCTGCACTGGAAAACAATATGGCGAAAACATATTGGAAAACATATTGGACATCCCCAATTTTCAAAACTTCATTAAAAATGTTTTATCTGTTTGAAAGTGGGCCTTTACAGTGTCTTTAAGTACCCGTCCCTCAGCACCAACAAGCTTTTTCTTGAAGTAACTTCCTCACTATTTGTGCAGTTTTTGTCTCTTGCACGAAGAAAATAACTTCATGCATGGGACCCGGAGTTGAGGTCTTATGGATAGCTGAAGTTTTCTGATCACGCATCCGGAAACTTGAGGTCGAGCTGCCGAAGTTCGGGTCAGACATCGAGGCACTTCGGTACGCACCGGAGTACTTCAGATGTGTGACCCGAACTTCGGCAGCTGGACCTTAAGTTTTCGGATGCGTGATCCGAAAACTTCAGAGATCCATATGACCTCAACTTCGGGTCCCACGCACGAAGTTTTTTTCTCCTTGTGATCAATTTCATTTTTCAAAGTTGGTATCTTTTCATTATAAAATTATGTAAGAATCTCGAATCTCGGTCTTATGTGTGAATTATGTAATGGACCACTAGACAAGGTACGAATTTAAGCGATCTGATACATGTTTCTTAACCAGAATTTCACGTAAAAAACGATTCACACAACGAAAACTACGGAGACCAACTCCTAACGAAGATATTAACGTTTTTATTTCACATTGGTTACGAGGAATTTGAACTGCCCGCTCACAAGAAACTCAAAACTCTACGTGAGTCAAATCGCCCACTACAACGGTTTTAGCAAGCTTCTCAATCGAGCAATGTTCATTTCCCATCGTGTGTTGTTCAAACTATTAGCAATTTGCTATAACTGAGCCAAAGCGTCAAGAATGAGGTTGCCAGATTTTTATATCGCAGAAACTGTCATGATAACGTTTAGCGCGCGATGTGAATCACGTAGAGCATTGAGTTTTCATGAGTGGGTGGTTTGAATTCACGCATTAAATATCTTCGTAAGGAGTTAATTTCGGTAATTTTCGTTGTGTGCATCGTGTTTTACGTAAAATTTTGGTTAAAAATCATGTATCAGAATGCTGAAATTCGTACCTTATCTAGTGGTCCATTATGAATTATGTTTCATTATGTATTCATTCTTCCTTTTTTCCCGTATTTTCCTCTCTTACTCTTAATAATTGGGTATCGCTTTATTCGTTCAGATGTTGGTCTCTCACTGCCACGAAGTCCGAGGAGATCAACGACCATTTACGCCCGAAAAGATCAGCCCACCGTCTTGCCTTGTTTCTCTGAAGGATTCGTCTCACCAACATATCGGTAGGTTTTCATACTAACACTCTATTGGTCCCTCGATTTTATTTCCAGATTTATGATTGTTTATGTGTGTCGAAATATATATGATACCTAGCCAAGCACGTTCCTGTAATATGAACTAGCTCAAAAAACATAACGACGGCGTAAGTCCGCAATCACATACCTCGTTTGCTGTGTCTGAAAATCTCCGCCTCTGCAGATCGACGGTGCAAGTCGGCAATCACAAATCTCGTGTGCGGTGTCTGAAAATCTCCGTCTCTATGCTTTTTGCAGAATTTTCTTCACACAGAGAAGAAAAATCACGGCAGTTTTAAAAAATTGCCGTTGAGTAGTTTTCCGTTTAAAAAATAAAGTATGACAGGAAGTCTGCGACGTCGCAAACCGAGTTATGTGATTGCCAACTTACACCGTCGATAATTTCTTTTTCATACAAGGGGTCTTAAATATTTCGAAGCGGGTCAAAATTGGTTTTTCTGCCACAATCAAAGAGTTTGTAATGGTAATTAAATTAAAAAGCAAATTGCATTAAATTACAATAAAATTTTCATTAAAAAGTAATGGTTGCCAGGGCATCATTCCAGCGGGTTCAAAATGACCTCGGAAAACACTATGAGTGTTTTTTTTCTCCGGGTCTTTGTTGAGAAATTCATGGAATGGACAAAATATCTGGAAAATCCAAGGTTTCCTGGTACTTTCTGAAATCCCCATTTAACTTGAGATTTCGATATTTTTGAGACTATATTGATGGACAGAGCGAGGTGTTCTCTCGGGGAGCAAACCTGTCTCATGAGTTTTGATCCATAATCGTCACCGAAATTCAGAAGAAAGCTATGATTTTCTAAAAATTTGGGGGCAAGCGCTCTGTCTGGTGTCGTTTTTGAGAAGAAGCAGAAACAAAAATAACTGCAAAAAAGATTCTCAATTTGACCCATAGAACTGTCTGGCCGTTTAGTCTTGGGACACACTGTATATCAAAGTTGAAACTGCAAAAACGCATACTTATCTATAGATTTGCGACGCTGCGGATTTTATGTTTAAATCCTTTTTTCACATGCCAAAATACTCAACGTTATTTTTTCAAAAGCGTTAGTGTTGGTTCGCACTTCTTCAATATATGAATATAAGTGCAAAGATTTTTAAACATCGCAAACGAGATAGGCGTTTTTGCAGTTTCATCATCGATATTGATTTTACGCAGAACAACTAAATTAATGTATGGGAAACGTAGGGTCGTAGGGTGTGCTATTGCCAACCCTTTCGGCCAAAACTCGGCTTTCGGTACCTGCCGATGGAGCTATGGCGCGAAATTTGATTTTCAACAACTATTTAGTCTTGTCCGACTGAGCACAGGGGAGAATTTGGTCCAAAACTCAAGGATAGGAAGAAACAAGTACACTGGAAAAAAAACACATTGGATCTAGAGTCCAGACTCTTAAAAACATCGACAAGAAAAAGTACTCTTGATTCAATCAGAATCTAGCTTGAATCAAGAACCAAGCCTCTTAATTTAAGCGGATTTCGTTTTGATTCGAGCAAAAATCCGATTGAATCAAGAGTATTTTTTCTTGTCAATGTTTTCAAGAGTCTAGACTCTAGATCCAATGTGGGTTTTTTCCAGTGTAGGATAATGACTGAAAGATCACGAACGTTTCGTAATTGATGTTTTTTGAGTCCCTAATTTCGAATTTGATGTCCAATCGCCTACATTTTAACACCCTGATCTATTAACTGTAGGCAAGTTTGTGACACGCTGCGGCGCGGCGCGGCAGCGCGCTGCCAGCTCGAAATGCACACTGACGCCTAAAAACCTAAAGGGATACTTCAAGCATTGCGCAATGCGTGAAGTATCCCTTTAGGTTTGTAGGCGTCCGTGGGCGTTCCGCGCTGGCAGCACGCCGCACTATGGTCCGAATAGCCGGTTTAAGCGGCAATAAATCGAAAAAGTGAAGTTTGGAAAAAGTTAGATTTTAAGAAGTAGATCGATAGTACATACTGTAGAGAAGACTCCTGTAAAATTTCACTTCGATTAAAGCAATAATAAAGATGTGACAAGCCTGGGAAGTGCGGCGCGCGGAGCACTTTATGAGTGCGATTCCAGTTACCGAGCGGCAGTGCTGTGTTTAAGGGCTTGTTTTCGTCGTTTCACCGTACCTGAAAGTGTTTGGGCACTTGATTCACAAAATATAAGATAAGTTTAAGATGTTTCATGCTGAATTGCTGAAACTGTTCTTTTTCATCATATCTAATGTTCTAGATTAACCCTTAGACATAGTCACTTTTTTCAATAAAATCGCAAAAGTAGGACCCAAAAAATATCCTTTGCACCTCTGAGCACCTCGTAATTTTACTCGGAAGTTATTGTCATGACTCTAGACTACCTTTTAGTCTGAGTGGCAGATCAATCACACACAATCGCCTCAAGTTATTTCTTATGAAAAATGACGTTTTCGCGTTTCTTATCACTTGCTACAATTAGCTATCATATGCCATTGACGATGACTTTTATCATGTTCCATTGTCATATTCTAGCAAATCGAATGCATTAGAGCTTAAATCTGCCCAGGCAGAATAATACGAGTTGATGGGGTTGATGGGGACCAATTGAAACTTGTGCTCAAGAACAGCAAAGAATCGCCTCGGGAGGCTACTTTGAGGCCCCGTAAAAGTTTTTTTTTTTTGACGTTTTAAGTGTTTCAAACATATAATCTATCAGTGTAGATATATGTTAGCATAAGTTTAGCTTGGCAGACGAAAACAAGTCTAAACGGTTAATCGGTGGGACTTGAAAGTAAGGCTCCCGAGCAATGAAATGGGCCTGTTGCAAACTTTTGCTAGAGCAAAAATAAGAGTTGTTTCTTATAGATAATGCCTCGAAAATCACGATGAGCGCATCAGCAAAGTCTGAAATGCACTCATAACTTCACAGTCTGCGTAAGAAATTTGCGGTTTTTTGAGCTTCCCGCTTCAAAAACGATACTACGGCACAGGTGAACATTTTGTAAGAGGAGTCGTTCCATCGTCGGCAATAATCATCATGGCCGACGCCAATCCGCCAAAACACGTTTGATGGGACGAGATAACATCTGAACTGGATTAGACCAGATAACAATCGGTGTGTTAACGTTCATATTTTCCACGCCCGAATTGATTGACCTTGAACTCTCCTCGAATTACGCGCGGAACTGCGCGCAAGCGTCGGCCATGATGAATATCGCCGACGATGGAGCGACTCCTCTAACAAAATGTTCACCTGTGCCGTAGTATCGTTTTTGAAGCGGGAAGCTTAAAAAAACGCAAATTTCTTACGCAGATTCTGAAGTTATGAGTGCATTTCAGGCTTTGCCGATGCGCTCATCGTGATTTTTGAGGCATTATCTTCAAGAAACAACTCTTATTTTTGCTCTAGCAAAAGTTTGCAACAGGTCCATTGTCTTAGGAAGCTACTTTGAGGTCCCGTAAACGTTTTTTTTTTTTTTTTACGTTTACCCATGTTTCAAACAAATAATCTATCAAAATGGATATATTTAAGCTTAAGTTTAGCTTGGCAGATGAAAACAAGTTTAAACGGCTGATCGGTGGGACTTGAAAGTAGGCCTCTGGAGCCATAAAACGTAGAAGTATTATCCCGAGCTGTCTTTTTCAAGTTCCCTTGATAGTAGTGTTTGACGAGGCTCTACTATTAGCTTCTTATAGTCCATCCAATGTAAAATTAATTTTTAAACTTATAAAAAAAAAAAAAAATTCTATCGAGAATCGAACCCGGGACATAAAGAAGATAAGTGAGACGCGATGTCAGCTGCTCCACCGCGACAGCATGGTCTGTACGCCTCAATTTAAGGTTTCTGAACAAAATATTACCACAGTTATATATAAAGTATAAAAATGTTAAAAATGGATTTTTCCTGAAGAATATTAGCATTTTTGCACTCAGCGACCCTAAAAACCCCTGAAAACTCATGTTGCGAGGTTTAAACATACATATCTGATTTAATGCCGCTTAAACCGGCTATTCGGACCATAGTGCGCCGGCCGCGGCGCGGCGCTCCCGACATGGCGGACGACCCATGAGTTGTGAACGATTGCGAGGAGAGCTCCCTGGCCAAAAAAATCTTATGTCGTGTAGTTTTTTTTTTAATATTTTTTTTTTTTTTTTTTTTTTTTTTTTTTTTTTTTTTTTTTTTTTTTTTTTTTTTTTTTTTTTTTTTTTTTTTTAAATTTTCAACTTTCAACATTACACACTAATCGTATGAAGAAAAAGTGAACTCTCAACGCTAGATGAATAAAGGCAGGTCGTGCGCCATGCGCACTGCGGACGGCGCGGCGCAGGGCGGCTCATGAAATTCTCCCGTGTGCTCTGTCGAGCCTTGGCCGAAAAAAAATATGAACATCTGCTTTTGATAAAGACGAGAAAAGAGGCATCTCACTAAAAAAAATGAATTTTCACTTTTTTATTATTTGCTCGCATTGAATTTGTTCGTTTTTATCAATATCAGACGTTCGTATTTGGTTTCCGGCCAAGACTGCAAAGTTGTTTAAATTCAAGTTTCGCGCCACAACTTTAGCGGCGGAAGTCAAAAGCCGAGTTTTGGCCGAAAGTTTTGGCAAGAGTATCTATATAGCAAGAGTACTGACCGATCATTTCTTGGAGGGCTCAGGACTTAAAAGGGTAGCCAGCCTTACAACACACAATGTCACTGCCAATCTTCGGATTCCAAAATCAAACCGAGATGGTCCAGAATGTTTGTGAATGAGCGTTCTTCCGCGATAATGAGTAAATTTATGCAAAAATTAAGTCAAATGCGTGCTTTACAAACGACGGGTCGTAAAAATTTTAATAATGAGTCGTATTGGATAATTTAAATTCGTGGGTTGGCTGCCTTTTCGGGCCCTGACTTTATTCGCGAAGACATCGGCGAGGGCCGGCAAGAGCATAAACGTACGTTTCGCAGGTTTGCCATGGTTAGGGAACGCCGGGAAAACCGGAAAATGACAGGGAATTTTAAGAAGTCAGGGAAAACCTGGAAATCTCAGGAAAAATGACGGAAGTGTGGGGGAAAATTTTTTAAGTCACTTTAATTTGCTTGCCAGAATGGGTTTGACAAAAGGTCAAGGACAAAGTGCTGGTCACAGAATCGTGTTTTGATGCTTGATTCTTGTAGATTATAGCCATAATAAGATCCGTCTAAACAGCAACTTTCTACGTTCAATATTAACCGAGATATTGCGCATTGAAAAGTCGGGTTTTCGACGTCATCCACCGCGGTAGTGACACCCTTGGTCTCTTCCACCTTACTTTCATCCGAGTTTCACGTTGAGTAACCAGTGCAAATGCGCGTCAGTGCGTCACCCTGACTGATGAAAGCAAGGTGGAGGAAACCTGGGGTGTCACTACCGCGGTGGATGACGTTAAAAACCCGACTTTTCAAAGGGCAATATCTCGGTAGATACTGAACGTAGAGAGTTGCTGCTTGGACAGATCTTATTATTTTTAGCTAGACTACAAGAATCGAGCATCAAAGTACGATTCCGTGGCCAACGCAACTGACCTATTTGAACAACAGATTTTGCGCGTGGCATGCTATTTCAAATCACGTCCTTTAAATGGACTGAGTTTAGCAGAAAGGAACCAACCCACTTTTTGGAAAAAATTGAGTCATGCACTGGAAAAAAAACACATTGGATCTGGAGTTGTCAATGTTTTCAAGAGTCTGGACCCTAGATCCAATGTGTTTTTTTTTCCAGTGTGAGTGGTTTTGAACTCAACCACTTCTTTACTATCTATCGCCAAAAATTCAAAGTTTTTGTTGGAGCAAATTTTGCAAAAATTGAACTTGAAATTTATCTTTTACATCGAGTCGTATGCAGGAACCAAACTTTAAACCTCTTTATTTTCTCGGCTCGATCCCGATGTGGCTTGGCTTCTTTCTGTTTAACTCCGTCCAAATCATCTTGCATGTCCATAAGTGTCAGGGAATTTTACCAAAATGTCTTAAGGATATCAGGGAAATGTCATCATCTAAATTTTGTGGGGACCCTTGTTTTCATTTGAATCAGTGAAAACGAAAACACACCAACTCGGTAACTCGAAAATGCGCACTTCTCACTAAGGACAGACAATTTTCATGAATCTCATTGAAGTTACCGTATCTGTTTCAACTTGGACATTTAAAGTTTCCTTAAGTACTTGCTTTTAGGCACCAAAAATATTTCTCTCAGACTAACTTCTTCGCCTAATATGCAGTTTTGTGTATCTTGATTCCTTTCATTTTTTCGAGTTGGTGTGTTTTCGTTCTCACTGATTCATTTACCTTGGACACAAATAAGTTTCTCCATTGATTGATACAGGTGGTTTCGTGAGGACAGCCCGGACCGAGGAGCGAAAGACGACCGGATCCTGCAGATGGAGGAGCGGCTCGTCATCCAGCACGTGGAGGCGGAGGACGACGGGGTGTGGATCTGCGAGGTGAACGGGACCTCGGGCTCCGGGCCGGGGGCCTCCGGGGTGGTGGAGCAGCTGCGGGTGGCGCTGGTGGTGCGGACGCCGCTGGCGGTGACGTTGAGCCCGGGCGGGGAGGTGACCGTGGACGTGGGCTCGCGGCTGGCCGTGCGCTGCCTCGTGGCCGGCGCCGGCGGGCGCGGGCACCTGTCCCGGACGTGGCTCCGCAACGGGCAGGCCGTCGGCCCGGCCACGGCCCCGCACGTCGCCGCCACCCAGGACACCCTCGTCGTCGAGCGGGTCAAGAAGGAGGACGCCGCCATGTACCAGTGCGTCGCCAAGACCGACGAGGAGAGCGCCCAGGCGGCCGTCCAGCTCATGCTCGGAGGTGAGATAGAATCCCCTTTAAATAGTGATAGATGATAACATCGATTTTCCTTGGATCGAATTGATTTAACGGAATAAGGAAGGAAATGAGGAGATGCGATCTGCCGGAGGAGCTCCCGCAGGAATGCTATCAGTGGCGGTTGGGTGTCACAGAGTACACAGAAGCACTATAAGAGCGACTTCTTAGTAATAAAATCGATTTTCCGGGTAAGGGACTCCCAAAAATCGGAGATTACGATAACTCAAAATTCACACCTTTAAAAAAAATTTCAACTGTTTTTTTTCCCCCTTGGAGGATGACAATACTTTCTCTACCTTAGGGAAGCGAGAAAGTAGAAATTGAATGACAAAATCTGGGAAATGTGCTAAAATGATGGTCCGAAAATCCGGCTCACGTGCCGATTTACGACATTCGGAAGGGAAAAATTGGAATTTTCGATTTTAAGTGAAAAAATCTATTTACACGATTAATTGAATTTAATAAAAACCGATGCAAATTTAAGTTGAATAACCTTACAATGAATGAATAGTTAAAAATTGATTTCTTGGTTGTTTTTATTATAATTATTATTGTAACTAATATCAAAAATTGTATAATTTCAACACTGCCGATGATTTCATAAAATCATTTCCGTGAGTTCGAATTATTCTGATTAAAATAGGTAGATAATCCAAGAACTCGATTAAAAATCAATTTTTCAAGAAATTTGATTTAAAAAACCGGTGAATGATGACCCTAAAAAATCCAGAGAGAAACCTTACCTGTTGGCAAAATGAAGTGTACCTATGTGTGTATTTTTTCAGCGGCTCAACCTCAGCTCCTGTACAAATTTATTCAGCAAACTTTACAGCCAGGACCACCTGTATCACTGAAGTGCATAGCCTCTGGAAATCCAACTCCTCAGATCACGTGGAAGTTAGACGGCTTTCCACTGCCACAAACTGAGAGGTAAGCTGATTAAAGGCAGTACAAATTGAAGATGACAGGTTGAGGTAGAAAGTCGAAGTAAAGTTGTTAAGTGATCAATCAAAATAAATTTTGATGGACTGAAATTTTTTTGCTGCATTGGCGCATTGCCCCCCTCCTCTTCGCGCCCCTCCCGACGAAGTGATACAGAAGGACCAACATTTAATTAATATTCATTAATATAATTCATCATTATTATTAAAGTCTCATTCGTTCAGAGTTTGTGTTAATTTACAATTAAGGAGCATCCCAGATCCATGCAGTTAAATTTAGAGCCCTAAAATGAGTGACAATGAAGTATAAAAAGCTCGGTAATTTATTGATGAAAATGAAACATGCCCTAAACAAACCCAAGGAAGTTGATTCTTCCACCCGATGAAGATATGTCTCTTTTTGCAGTTAGCGCATCTTTTTTATAGGAGCGTCAATTCGAATTTCCCGCGCAATTTTCAAATCTCGCGGCAGGGAAGTTTATAGTAGTTGTGTTCGCTGTGCAGCGTTAGAGTCGGCTCAAAAATGTAAACAAAAACATGTGCAAATATAGTGGTTATTGTCAGCCAACAGGGAATCCCCCCCACCACCTCACCGACCTGGAAGGTCGTCAGCGAGGCCTCCCTCGCCTCGCCAAGCTCTATGAACCCCTCATTTTATTAACCTGTTTTAATCTCAAACTTGTCGTGTCGATTCAAAATTCAAACTAATCTGGAACTTTACCAAGCTTACGAAAGTTTTAAGGCCAAATTTTTAGACGTTATTTGAAATTGCTATATTCAATGTTGCCTCTTCTTCTTTTGGAATATATATTGATTTTTTTCTTTAGACAAATGAAAGAAAAGAAAAACTGAGTTGATTTATTTATAGCTGATATAATTACGCTGAGAATTTTCATTTACTCCGTTTTTGCAGACCTCTTTTCCCCCTTCTCGAGAAGTGAAGATGTGACTAGAAAAATACCTAAATAATTCTCCAGTACTTGCCTGCCTAAATTTGTCTCTGCATTTAAATTTTTGAATTAAAGAACTGATACTTAAAAAAGTGACAACAACCATAAACGGGATCCATTCTGGGGTCAAAATTTTAACAATGGATTTGAACTGTACGCAGGCAGGCAGGCTGATGAAAGTATTCTTCGATATCTATCTCGAAGATACTTTTTTTCGGTGCATTTTTAATTTTTATTTTTTGCTTAAATATTATAGTAACAGGGCAGAATTTAGTGTGCAATCCTTTTCTTCGATTAGAGACGAATTAATGTTACTTAATCTCATTTTGATGACTTAATCTGCCAAATTCAAGCTTCCGCCTTTTCTGCCGAATTCAAGCTTCCCGCCTTTTCTGCCAATCTTGTTTTCTGAATTTTAAATTAAATCTGTGTATGTAATTTATAGCTTACGCTCTCTGCATGTCGGCAATTGTCAGTGTGACTTGTTTTCCCGTTTAAATTTGCATTTTAATGCATATTTCACGAGTAAATTACCATTTTTAAATAATCCGGAACTTTTCGGAACTTTTTTTGTAAAATCGGAGAATTTCCGGAGAATTCCCGGAACTTTTCCGGAACTTCTCCCGGAACATCGTGAATTCTGATGCGAGAGCCCTGCCCTGCGATTGGTAGTACACTCCCGATCGCCCCCACGCTATCACAACGCTACAACGGTCGCCGATTGGCCAAAAGCCAGATTGCACCATACTCAAACCAACAACAACAATTTTACAAACTAGTTCGTCTTCATAATGTAAAATGCAAGTCTCTTTAATAAGTTAAATTATTTTGAATCATCTTCCAGGTTCGTGATGGGACAGTATGTCAGCTTGCATGGGGATGTGATAAGTCATGTCAACATCAGTAGTGTTCAAGTTCAGGATGGTGGAATCTATCAATGCACCGCTGTGAACAAAGTTGGAGAAATATCACATTCGGCAGAAATGAGAGTTTATGGTACGTAATAACCAAGCTAAGATCTTTCAATGATCTATCAAGATATTTTCTTAATGAAGCTTGCGTATAATAAGCATGACGGGATTCAAAAGCTCAAAATATCCTTTGAGTGGTTTTCAACCTCAGATTGGTCGCAAAATCCAACTTTCCATAGCTGTTGCTGCGCTTTATAAATTTGTTATTTCCGTGTGAGAAACCTGCGTGAGCGTCAAGGGATTTTTACTCAATGGGCCTTTGAGACATCCTTGTGGATTTTACAGTAATCCTCGATTTCTATGCTTTGCAAATTTCATAAATCAAATTGAAGAGCTTTTTTCCTATCAATTCAAGTTTAATCTTTGTAATTTATTCTAATTTTGTATAAACCCTCATGTGCAACACCACCATTTTATGTTTTTCATTTCTACTTGCAGGGCTGCCATTTGTTCGACCCATGCCCAACATATCCGCTGTTGCAGAAGAACCCCTATTCATTGCTTGTCCTGTTGCTGGTTATCCGATAGACTCTATTACATGGGAGAAAGGTAACAAAACAATCACTGCTCATGCAGTTGAGAGTTGCCTGTCAAGTCTAATTTTAGACCTAATCCATTTGAAAAAGACGTCCTATCCTTTTAAATTATCAGACCTGGGAGAAGAAAAGATCGGACAAACATCACATCAGCAAATGGCACCATTCAACAGAAATTTATGTGCTAACCCATGGGCTGACTGATGATTGGTGCATTCAGGTTAATGCGACTTTTGTCTGATCTTTTCTTTCCCCAGTTCTATCTTCTTTCATCATCTGATACTTTGCCATGTTACAAAAAAGGGAGAAAAACCATCCACCATTTAGCCCTAAAACATAAAAAAGATAAAAGAACATTGAGACCAAATTTTATAGTAGCGCTGCCAGAGATCATTGATAAAGAAAGACTTCAATATTTAGCGGAAGTATACGTTTGATGGTAGAATACCTATTTATGTCAACAATAGCCTCTTGCCACCGTCAAAACTTGTTCGTCTTTTTTGTAGTGTTTGAGGGTAAGATTCATGAAAAGACTGACATTACTCAAGATCAAGAAATCCATACCTACCCTAGAAGATACAAAAATACCTTACGTATTACATGTCTTTGATCATTCGTTTTTATCCGTTACCTACTCCCCACCACTACTCAAGGATGAATAAGGTGCAAATCACATTAATGTTTTCCTCCTTATTTTACAGAAGGAAAAAAATTGCCGCTAAATAGAAGACAACATGTATTTAGCAATGGAACTCTCATGATAAAAAATGTTCAAAGAGAAGCTGACAAGGGGTTTTACAGCTGTACAGCAGAAAATAAACAAGGCCGATCAAGTTCACAGAGTTTATATATGAATGTGATAGGTATTGTTCTGCATTATTTATTTTTTTTTTGTGGATGTTCATAAAAAATATGTGCTTATGGATCCTTAAAGTGCTTGAGTAAATGACAGTATTAGTTGCTTTCTTGGTACTTACTAGTGCAATTATCACCCTACATGCACAGTGAAACTGCTAAAAAGTGTATCTCGGATGCGATATTGCAAAGCCCAGGATCCATTTTCATTTTTTGAAGGTCGTGATTCAAAATCTTCACTGGACACATTTCATTTAAAGAAGAAAAATCGTAGAAGTTTTCAAGGAGAGACACCCAGTTACTAATTAGAAAATAACGTATGTCAGAAGGTCTCTGAGTATTTACTCCAAAATGTATATACAACGCCAGAAATGAATAAGGAGGTATCCTTGTGAAATTGAAATGTAATTCCCTCCTCTTTTTAAAACAACCACTGTCTAGTGCCTGAGAATGATGGAAACATAGGTATCTTTTTTTGAGGTATCTGCCTTTAAGAACTCTCGCCTCCCTTTCTTATCTTATTTTCTTATCTCCTATACCTTTAATGTACAAGAGCCAAGAAAAATGTCCTACCTGACGTTCTTATAAGTAGTATGTAACAGAATAACCCCATAGTGTGTGTTTGCAGTGCCACCAAAAATAGCGCCTTTTTTCTTTGAGTCGGACCTGCACCTTGGGGACCGAGCTGGAGTTCAGTGTTTCATTACAAAAGGGGATCTGCCCCTGACAATTTTGTGGCTCAAAGATGGTGCTAGTCTGAGTCAAGGGGCTGAAATCCGTCAGCAGGGTGAATTTACAAGTTCTCTATCGATTCAATCTTTGACACTTCACCACACTGGCAACTACACTTGTATCGCCTCAAATGTTGCAGCCTCAACGAAACACACTGCGACTTTACTCGTAAATGGTAATTTTGTGTAGATTTTTCCAGTCAGCACTTGGTCAGAGTTCCCATTCTCCTCTGTAAATTGGAGCCTTTTGAGGCTTTTTGAGGTGGCCCTATTCAGGGGAAGTTTTCTTAAGCATTTACGTTATGATTGTAAATACATTCATCCTTGTATCTTACTATTATTTATTTATTTATTGAGGATAGAGGGGGAGCTCAGATCAAGTGCTACGGCTTTATTCAGATGCAAGCTAACTTTTCTTCCACCGTGTTTCAGCGCCTCCTAAGATTGGGCCTATTAATTTTGGTGAAGTCGTTGAAGGAGTGCGAACTCAAGTGCCTTGCGTCATACAATCAGGTGACCTGCCACTGTCAATTCAGTGGCTAAAAGATGATCAGCCTATTCCGTTACAGCTCAATATTCAAATCAGAAAAGATGACGAGTATTCTAGTTCTCTAATCATCCCAAAGGTTGGTCGCGAGCACTCAGGGAATTACACGTGCGTCGCTAGCAACCCAGGAAAATCATCAAGCGTACTCGCAAGTTTAGTTGTGAGCGGTAAATTATTTTATCCTCGGCATGACGTCTTGGCTCATTGTTTTGCACCTGCTCTAATTCGGCGCACAGTTTGAACAGCACGCATCTGTTGCCATCTCTTTGAAAACAGCTGCAAGAAATAGGATTTTACCGGGGTGAAGTCACATTATCTCAACCTCAATGGTGTGAACTTTAAAAAGAAAAGTTCACAGAAGTATCACTATCAAATATCGATCTACTCACATTTTGTTAATAAATTGTGTGAAAAACTCAAAGAAAACTTAACATTGGCCTCTTGCCAAGGCAAGACAAGCAACAGTTCGATCGTCTTGCAGGAGAAGATTTATTATCTGCGCCGCTTTATCACTCTGCATCGCACCGCACTTGACTGCACCACAATTTTTATTTTCTGCAAAGCACTCGCACCCTCTTCCGGACCTATTATTTTCGTTTTATTTATGATTGTTGTAGCCGCACTGAACACAGAACTGCAGGAAATTGATTTTTTTTTAATGGGGGCCAAGAACTCATTGAAAGTTGAAGTCATAGATTAATCTTGAATGAACTTTGATAAGTCCCATTAAATGTATCACAAGCCCAAAGAAGTCTCTTGTCTCTTACTCTAGTTGTTTACACCAATATCTACTTATGAATTTCAAAAAATTTACCACGAAAAGTTTGGTTTACACTGGTTTCTTGGTTTCTCAAAGTACAAATTCTTGTGCTCTTTAAAATTGTTTTGCTATGGACTGGCTTTGGCCTGTATTTTACCAAAAATCGCTCCTAGGCAGTATAGGTCAGTCTCTTGCAGTTCTGAATCGCACAAAATTTTGCGCCTTTGCTATCTTGCACCAATTCGCAAAATCTGCACAAAATCTTTTTCATGTCTCTCACGATTTTAACATTTTATCTTGTTCACTTGTAAATGGTGATCACTGCCACTGTTGGGAAACTATTTTACTTTTCCTCTGTTTCTTTCTCTGTGAACTCGCTGAAATCTCGAATATATATGTCCGATCTGCTTAAGTAAAAAGTTGTTATATTCCTTTCAATAGCAAATGATTCAGTGGCAAACTTTTGTATATCAAGTAAAAAATAACACCAATGGAAACTTTTCAGTCTTGAAAACTCTGTCTAAACAAGAATAACAAACAATCAAACAAAAAAAAAAATAAATAAATAAATAAATAAAACTAGAAATAATTATTTCTGTTGGGCTGTAATAATCGTTCCACAGCTGAAAATTGAAACAGGGCTTACTAGCTAGTCTAGATTTTATGTCAACCAAAATAGGTTTAAAACAATTTTAGTATGTATTCTGGAACCTATTAACTGCTTTATAATCATCATCAACCAAATGCTTGAGAGAGAGCACAATGATCATATTATTCACTTTTTCATTTAATAGTCTTCTTAGAAATTCCGAATACAACTGTTTGCAGTGTATTTTTTAAAATTTTGGTTTTATTCAAAGTGATAAGAAATAAATGTGTTTGAAATGCAGCAAATTAAAGGTATCCCTCAGGTTGATCATGTGTATTATCTCATTTCGGATTTTTTGACAAGCGGTTGTTTTTTCCCCCTCAGTTCCTCCACGATGGTTGTTGGAGCCAAGAGATTTAAATGTGACCCGGGGAAGTCCAGCTGTCCTTGACTGTCAAGCAGAGGGTTTCCCAACCCCAACATCAACTTGGAGGAAAGTCTTAGGTAATCATTCAATGATATCGCTTCATAAAATGACATTGCAACGATTGCAATTTTCATGATTACCAAAAATCTCACCCACCCAATAAGGAGTAAAAAATCGAAAAATGCAAGCAACATGCAGACAAATGAGGCAATCTCTAAGGAATCTCTAAAACACCAGCGGAAATTCTAGCTGCATCAACTATTGTATCAGCTATTATATTGTATGTTGCTGCGTCAACTAGCTGGTTGTATGAATTTTACCAAGTCAATTGAACATTCATATCAGCACTAATTAACGTATACCTTCTCTTCATCCTTAAGAATACAAAACACCTATTTGAGTATGCCTTTTTAAAATTTCAACTTTTTCTTGATTTTGTGGAGAGATTGATACTAGGCTTTTTCTTACAAAATTCTCAGTGAATGTTATTCAGAAAGCAGAGGAAAGTCGCACAACATTTTTTGGATTTTAATAATTATCAATCATTCATTAAAATACTACAGTTTTAAGAAAAATCTGCAACATTCCAAATTTAAACACAACCCCCTGTTATATGTCACTTAGCGAACTAATGAATTCCTTTTTCCCGATTAATTCTGTGTAAAAGTAAGAAATTTAAAATTTCCTCTTGAGTATAATGGCAGGATAGTTCCTTTTATATCAGTCAATGAGTATTTCACAAAATTTGTTTTTTCTGCAGGCAACCAACCAGGCGAATACCAAGATTTGTCTGTAAGAAGTAGAGGCATTGAGCTGTTAGCTAATGGGACTTTATACATCCGGCAAACCCTCCCGGAGCACCAAGGCCTTTATTTATGTGAAGCAGTCAATGGAATCGGTGCTGGAATAAGTGCAACCATCTCTCTTATCATTCATAGTAAGTGTCATTTTTTAATACAATTGCATTAAGTACTCACAAGCAAACTTTTTTCTTCTTCTCCTCCTTCTTCTTTAAAGAGTAACAATCTCAGTATGAAAATGTTATTCAAATTGGAAATTTTGGGCACGTTTTACTGGTGCAAATTAAAAATTGTCTCCCAAAGCAAAAACATCTGATCATAGAATATTTGGGAACTTTTTGCATCCTTGAGAATGCCAGTACTCTAATTATAGGTCATAATTTGACCCACAGGGCAGTAAAGTTGTTTAATTTTGTAGAATATTTGCGTAAAAATGTGAGGGTTGAGGAGCTATTAATTTAAAAAATCACTATTTTTGCTCATAAAGCAATCTTTGAAATCTTTACCTAAATATAGACAATCTTCTAGGTCAGCCGAGTTGTTACTTGACTTATGAATTCTTTTTCAGATCCTCCACAGTTCGTGGTGCAATCATCTCAAGTTAGTGCACGACGTGGCGCTCCTCAAACTTTGCAATGTCATGCACACGGAGACCAGCCTCTAACAATTACTTGGTCACGTGATAATGCCCTCCCTCATCTTCAGTTTAATCCAAGGTGCATCTCTCTTGCTTTTATATTATGCAGGGTTTTAAACAGTTTTATTTGGAGATAGCGTCAAGAAAAGTGGACAAATTTAAGTTTAAAGCTGCCACAGGCGGTCTTTGATGAAGATCTCTTTTTTTTGCACAATCTGGGATGTGTGTAAGGAATTGAACCCAAAATATTAAGAAACAATAATTAAAGTACAAAGAGTCCAATAAAATTATTTTTTTGTTCTATTTTTGCACCTAATCAACATATTTCCATACTATTTAATAAAAGATCACTTAAGAGTTCCTGTATTGATTTAACTTTAGGAAAGTTGACTATATCTAACAGGTAGGACAAGTATGCTGATTCATAAGCACATCACTTAAATATTAATGAATAAAGAGATATGATGAGAATGTATTGTTTAAGACTATACTGAATTTAACTGATATTGGCTAATAAATCATCTCCGACCAGAGTTTAATATTTCTGCCGTAAGATTTAATTTCTTTTATCTTATTTTGACTTTAAATTGCCATTAAATGCAGGTACGAGGTGAAGGAAGAAAAAGTCAAAGGAGGCACAGTTTCAGATCTTGTAATTGATGGAACAACAAAGGCGGATGCAGGCACTTTTTTATGCACAGCTAGCAATCCATACGGTCGATCTCAAAGAACCATTCATCTACAAGTTCAAGGTGCTACTCTTTTTTAGTGTATTAATTCTTTTTAATTTGACAACCCTCCTAAAATCATAAACTTTAAATCATTTTCCTTCAACCTTCTCTGATTTCAGCAAATGATGAAACTCTGATACGTACAGTTACCTATATGGATAGAAACAGAAAATTAATGGATTAAAATTCTATATCTGATTCTCTGGTTCCAACGAAAATGCTTGCTCAATATTTCTATTCAATCCTTAATTCTAAAATACATTTCTGTTACTGTTCAAATTTTTCCGCTTCAATTTCCGATTCTGTATCCTTTTTTAATTTTTTTTTTCCAATCTGCTTTAATTTCATAATTTTTCTCATTGAAGATGCACCCGGACGACCTCGTGATGTACATGTTGTTCAATCAGACAGCAGGAACCTTAAAATATCGTGGTCTCCGCCTCTGGACAGTCAAACAACAGCTCTGCAGTACACCGTACTCTATCGCAAAGAACAAGGTATTAAGGTGATTGTAAAATCCAGATTCTTGTTGGAACATAGCATGTTCTAAAACTCATTTGCAAATGTAGGCGCAATAATATTATAGTAGATCTGGAGGTACCTGAAAGTTTGTGAAAACCATGGAAAATCATGGAATATTTTACTGTGGTGGTTAACCATTCTAATCTATTGCAAGGATCTATTTCCAAAGTTTTAAGCTTGAGCTTCTCTTCAGGTTTAGAAAAAGTGTCCTTCTTGTGATGCTTTATTAGAAACCTCCTCAATCCTTCCCAAGTGACAATGAAAACTATTAAGAGTCTCCTCAAGGAAAGTAGCCGTTCAAGGAGCAACTATGAGTACGGCCCTTAAGCTTGCATATTTGTGACTTTCAACTGTCAGATTCAAATAGTACGTAAATATGTCCCTCTATCGGTACAAAAGTGGTTTACACTGTTCGCAACTCAGTCTATCGCCTGTAAAAGAGTTTTTTGTGTTGGAAATCTATGGTTTGCCTTTCCAACCAATTGGTAAAAAATTCTAAGCCAAGCAAGTAATTTTTGAGTTTACCATTTGACGATCTTTTTGTCAACCTCCTCTTTCAAACCAAAATACTTATCTTTTATTTCAGGCACAGATGATGAGTGGATTAGCCAGTCAGTGAACAGCGAGCTCAGTGTTACCATTCAAAACTTGAACCCTGCTGTAGTTTACTCCGTAAAAATCGTTGCGGAGAATGAGCTTGGAGCAGGAGAGCCCAGTGAAATCATCACTGTGAAAACAGAAGCAGAACCTCCCGCCAAAGAGCCTCAGGACATCAGGGTGGAGGCTGTTGCTTCTGACAAGCTGAAACTAACATGGACAGCTCCAGAAAGAGAGTTGTGGAATGGAGAAATTCTCGGATACTACGTCGGATATAGAGAATATGGGTATGTATGGATGTATTCAATTGGGATTTTTGGTTCGAAAATTTTCGAATTTTTATTTTTTCTAGGTCCAGGTTGACGAGTATCGGTAAAATCCGAAATTTTGCTGCGCTAAAACTCTTTTGGTGTGAATTTTTGAAGTAGGGATTCATCTCCATTTTTATTGAAGCTCTTTGGCTTTGATTTGTTTTGCTGTATTCATACTGACTCATCTATGAACTGCATTACCTACCTACAGCATCTGATTCCTTACTCATCTGATTAATTTTTCTGCCCTAGATTTGGACGACCTTCAAGTTACAATTTCACAACTATTCCAGCAGTGTACGGTTCAACTAGTTCTGCAGTTCTGTCTGGCCTTAAGAAATTTCGGAAGTATGGTGTCGTCGTCCAAGCATTCAATGAAAAAGGCCCGGGCCCAATGTCAAGTGAAGTACTTGCTCAAACCCTAGAAGATGGTAAGTGACTCACAGAATATTTTTCACAGTATTAGTAGCTCAAATAAAGTTTTTGGGAAAAATATTTTTTCAAGTTAATTGTGGAAATTTGATGTACAGTTTTCGGCAAAAAGCTTTTTGTTTTATCTTGAAGAACAAGTTGCTAATAGTTTAGTTTGTTGTCGCCGAAGTAAAAAGTTGCATTATAATGTGAAAATTTTAAGTCCTTAAAAAGTCAAATTTAAGTTCTAAGTGGCTCTTTTTTTAAAAAAAATTGTATTATAAACTGTAAACCCTATGTCATGGTGCTGGTTTACTTTTGATAGTTTTAAGCACTTCTTGTGCCAAAATGTGTGTAAAATCCTTCTATATGATGTGGTACTAATGTACTGATTTTGAGTTTTTTAATGCTAAGATTCCTTTTCTTGTAAGTGGCTACAAAGCCGAAATTAATTTTTCATGCCTAGTCTGTATCTGTTTTTCTTATCTTGAGAGTCTTTTGTGTAAATTTCTCAATGATTGGTTGTTTCAGTTCCATCTGCCCCCCCAGATGACATCAGTTGTGAGTCACTCAGTTCGCAGAGTATTGCTATTCAGTGGCGACCTCCTCCGCAGTTATTTCAAAATGGTCATATTCAAGGCTACAAGTTATATTACGAAAGCATGGAAGAACCTCCAATGCCAGGTTTGTCTTACTTCTGCACAGTGTTTCTTTATTGAAGTGTTTTACGATAAATAATTGTAGTGCTGTTAGTAGCTGCACTTACTTATATGAGTAAGTAACTCTAAAAGTTTTCAACTCACAAAACATAGATGGCTAAAGTTGAAAAATATACATCTTATATTGCGCTGTTGTATGTCTCCACTTATGCTTTATTCTTATTAAAGTAAAACTAACGAGCAGTTTCTATTGAAATTTTTTTTTTACTTTCCTCATTTATTTTAAAAATATCCTTGCAAAATTATCAGGAATAATATTGATTAGATCTTCTTGAAGAAAATAACATATTATACTATCGGAAATTTTTAAATGTTGCCCTTTAGATGTGTACTTATTTTTTGCTTTTGCTATCTCCAAAATCAAATTTAAACACTCTCATTTGCCGAGAGTGCTACTGCGAATCTTTGATTACCATTCAGTTTTCTCGTCATTTGATCTTCAAACAGTATTTTGCAACTGTGAAAAGAAAGAATAGATTGAAAGACATTAAAGTAGTAATGAAGCCCAGTGCCACCTTGATGTTTCAAATCTTTATCCAATTGCACAAGTCTGAAAGCTTCTCATTTTCTGAAATTAATTGCAAGGAACGATCATGAATTCAAGAGTGATTTTGAGTAATGTTTTTCCGTTTGTTCACAGGTCACATTGAGGCAGAAACTTTGCAGCTCACAGCAACGTCAGCAGAAATTCATAATTTGCAAAAGTATACCAATTACAGTATTCAAGTTTGGGCTTTCACAAAAATTGGTGATGGTGTTCGCAGTAAACAAGTTTTCTGCTTCACAAATGAAGATGGTACATCAAACAACCAATTTAATACATATATTCTTATTTTACTGAACAAGGTTCACCAATGTTCACCATCCTCCTACATACCTTTTATTAATTTAGCAATATCGGTATCTTAGAGCCGTAAATGCAATCTGAATTATGAAGATCATTGATTTCAGTGTGCCGACAAAAACTTAATTATGTCTATTTATTCCAGGGTAACTCATATTCCTCTAATGATTACCAGCCTTTATCATTGGTGATTTATGCTTTAACTAAATTTTGCGGCAACACAGGTGCCATCTTTCAGTAGGTTTCAGAACAATGAATTTGAATTAGTTTGGTGGTTTACCTACTGGTTGTGTTTTTACTGTCCAAATTTGAGTGAACTATTTGCTACTAGATGAGGCTGTAAGTATAAGTATAATCTGGTATCCCTGTAATGAGCAGAAAATAATGTCGTTGATATCGAGAAGATGCTAATAAGTTATTGATAACTCTGAATCACTGTAACTATTAAACTGATAACTGTTGGATCATTTTGTCATAAATAGAACTCATAATGCTGTTCTAGAGCGCAACATTCTCCAAGAATTTTATACTTAAATTTTTAGAAGGGAACCTATTCATGTAACAATCTTCAATTGTAGTCATCAGTCCTAAGATAATTTTGTTAATTTTCAGTTCCAGAAGCTCCGAGCGGTGTAAAAGTTCTCCCAAGCTCTTCAACATCTCTGACATTGAGTTGGGCTGCCCCTCAGAAAGCAAATGGGAAATTAACCAGTTACACAGTTTACTACAGGATTTTGTCATCGGGGCATGAAATAGACTCCCTAAAAAGAAGATTTCCTCCGACTCATACTTTTTATCAATTTCACGATTTCAAAGCTGGACTGACGTATGAGTTCTGGGTGACAGCATTTACCAAAGTTGGTGAAGGACAAAGCACTCAAGCTGTCTATGGATCTGTTTCAAATAAAGGTATGAATATTTCAGTTTTAATATTTTCATCTTGTTTGTAATGTCGTTCGTCTGAAGACAAACAGCATCGCAAAAAATCTCGTTGCTATTTTTGCTAAATGGATGTATTTTTGCAAAACAAGTCTCCTAAATATATGCATCCAAATGTGCATACACTCCTAATTTAGTGTCCATATCTTGGGTACCAATGTGTACCAAAATTGTGGATGGTAAGTGTGCAACTCTGTAGTCTATGCCAGCTGTGTACTATTTTAATGAATAAGGTAAATTTAGTTAGGCTCTATACGCGATTGTCAATAGCCAAGAACCTTTCTTTTTAATTTTGTCAAAAAAGTGATGCTCAAAATAAGTATGATAGGTGAAAATAATAAATTGATTGATTTCCTTCTAATCATATCGACGGTGAAACTACCAAACCACGTATCTCGTTTGCGGTGTTTAAAAATCTACGCTCGCATTTTATTTTTTTGAAGTAGACCAAATCAATATCATTCCTTGAAATTTTCACAGAATTTTCTCCGCACGAAGAGGAAAAATCACAGAAATTTTCAAGACTGGGCGTTAAGTAGTTTTTCATTTAAAAAATGAAGTATGACAGGAAGTCTGCGACGTCGCAAACCGAGATACGTGGTTTGGTAGTTTCACCGTCGATATGTGACATCATGTTATTCGTCCAAATCCTGAATTCCGGGTGTTAATTTTGTTGATTTAATCCAAAAACACCAAGCATTATGCTGGTTTATAATGGTAGACCATGTAATGGACCATTTAATGACATCTCCCTCTGCTGCATTGACATTGCGTTGCTATTGATATGAGCCAAACGGATGCCAAGCCTCAGAAAATTTGAATGGACTTGCAAGGGTCATTTTGCTGGACAATTTTTGTATATTAGTAGAACAACCCAAGTATACCTCATTCTTTCCTTACTACACAAAAAAGCTCATGAAAGTAGAGTGACAGAGGGTATCCAGATAGAGATTCTATATCAACTCATATGTGAGTCGTAATTGCTGTACACACTTTTGCCTGCAATGTTATCATCTCACCCACTAATTGACGTATCTCCCAATTATTGCAGGTTTTCCCTTTTTTACTGAAGCAAGCTATTTATTTTTTTTTCTCCTACAGTTCCCGCGGGTATTGTGTCTTTCGGAAAAAATGTACATTCAAAAATCCACAGCCTTGTTCGTCTTCCTTGCATCGCGGTTGGTATTCCTGCTCCCAAACGAAGCTGGTTGAAACCAGATGGATCCTCTACGTTTGAAAATGAAGATTTTTTTGAAATATCTCAAGCGCAGAAGCACCATCAAGGCAATTATACTTGTTCAGCTTTTAATGTTGATGGCTCAGACAGGATTACTTACAGTCTTCATATCTTAGGTAAGTCAATTGAAAATAATATAGCACCATCCTAGAATATGGTTATTGTTTTTTCCTCCTTTATTTTTCCCCAGTATTTAAAACCAATCGATGAAAACCCAGAAATTTTCATAAATTTTATACATATTATTAAATGAAAAAGAACTAAATAAAGTGAGGCATTGCACCCAGTTAATGAAGAAATTGAGTCAAAAAGAAGTTTGAGGATTCTGTAGAGAACAATGGAAACTGTTTTGATATTCATATGTAATGAGAAATAGTGGAGAAAATTTTCTCTTCACCTAAACATTTTTGTGACATTTTTTCATTTATAATGAAAATTACGATCCGGTATTTTAGTCCATAAATATTCAACTCCTTTTAATTATGGTTTAAAACGAATAATGGTTAAATACGATCCAATATTTTAGTCCATAAATATTCAACTCCTTTTAATTATGGTTTATTAGTTTTACCGCAAAATGTTTTATTTTTAAATATTTTTAGTCCCCCCATCAGCCCCAGAAATTCGAGTGAGAAGTTCAGGGACATCTTGGATTCAAATCGAGTGGAGTGTAGCAGACACTGGTGGTAGTGCCATCAGAGGGTTTATCTTGACGTACCGCCAAGAAGGATTAGGTGAAGCATCAGAAGTTTACATTTCAAGAGACGCAAATTCATATCAATTGGACTCCCTTCAGTGCGGCGTTGAATACCAACTGCAATTACTCGCTTACAATAACATTGGTCAGGGGAAGCCATGTCCAGTGTTGACAGCAAAAACAGATGGTTGGAAGCCGGTCAAGCCAAGTCATGTGGAGTTTATCGATGCGAACACAACTTCAGTCACTTTGTATCTGAAAGCTTGGAATCCCAACGGCTGCCCGATCATAAACTTCAAGATCGAGTATAAAGAGCCAGTTCATTCCGACTGGATGACAGGTGCGTGTGAATTCCCTCAGAATATCTCAAATTTGACCTTATTTCTAAAAAATAAGGTTAGTCGATACTTGGGTCTGATTGTCGGAACATGTTTAGGATTATAATTTTTTTTTCTTGCATGCAGTAAAAAGAAATAAATCAAGTGATCCATATTTTCACTGTACATTTGAGTGCATAAAGTGTGAATGAAGGAGATAGAAACACTAACATCAAGATTTCATGAAGCAAATCGCTGTTCATTCTTCATTTTACACAACTTCTAATTTCGTTTATTTCTTCATGTTCCTAAATGAGTAAAATTGAGATTAATTTTTTCACTCTGCTTTATTTATCACAGTGGGAAGTCATGTTGGTATGAATACAGTCACTATTCCGAACCTTTGGCCTGGAACTCTGTACCATCTGAGGGTAACAGCTGAAAACAGTGCAGGAATGACTTTAGCGGAATACTCAGTTAGCACCCTGTCTACGCTTGGTGGTATGTACCTAAAGTAGCATTAAAAAAATTAATTTTTCAATTTATTGCCTCCTGATTGGACCAAAAGACTCAGTGAAAACTATTATGTATAGCATTTTTATACTTATTTCTCTCTTAATATTTATGTAGAACTTTATATATGTCAGAAATACTTACATTTACAAACATTTGACAATCTGTTCACATGAGTTCTTAAAATATATAAACCTTACAAGCATTGTGAACCGCCAGTAGAAAGTACTTTTAACCCCTCGCAGTAGAAGGTAATGTTCAAATACCATTTCCAAGTGTTCTAAGTTGGCATCCTTACAGTATTTTAGCCATGGGAGGGTACGATCTGATACATTTTGCTGACAAGGCTTGGTACTTTTGATTTATTTTTTGCACCAAACTATGATGAATTTTACCTTTTCAGGAACATTCAGCCCTGACTCAGTCCGGTATAACACACAGGATGGATCAAATTTTTCCATGGAGTTTGGCTCTCTACTTCCTGTTTTTCTTTGCGCTGTGGTATTCACCGTATTTGCTGCCTCCATTGCTCTGTGCCTTCATAGAAGTATGTCCCATTTTGTTTCATGGAAGTTCTCCAGTCTGATATAATTTTAGTTCGTGACTTAATAGCTGTAGCTTTTGAGCTTATTTTTTTTTTTTTCTTATGTGGCTAAATAATATCAGTTTTACTCCACACAAATTTTGCAGTCAAAAAACTGAAAAGTAAAATTTTTCAAAATTTATTGATGTGGGAAGTACTTTTTGTTTTGCAATTTGAATAAATTTTGATTATGAGAGTTGAAACAAAAAAGAAAGAAGATTTAAATATTAATCTCGACCTGGTGGGAAAGTTCTAAAATTATTCTGCTAGTGGACAGACTTCAGCTTGACTTCAGTTTCCCTTAATGAGCCTGTTGCACACTTTTGCTAGAACAAAAATAAGATTTGTTCCTTAGAGATGATGTCTCAAAAATCACGATGAGCACATCTGCAAACTTTGAAATCCGCTATTAACGTCACAATCTGCGTAAGAAATTTGCGATTTTTAAGCTTCCCGCTTCAAAAAGGATACTACGGCACAGGTGAACATTTCGTTGGAGGAGTCGTTCCATTCAATCCCTGCTCAACATGGCCGACGCTTCCGTGCGCAGGTTGAAGAGAGCATGAGGTCAATCAAGGCGGATATCTATCAATGCGAGAAAAATGTGAATATAAACACGCCGATTGTTATCAGGTGGTTAGAATCATCGTCCCGTCACGTGTGTTTTGGCGGATTGGCGTCGGCTATGTTGAATGTTGCGCAGTATCCTTGTGAGTAGGGGTTGGATGGAATGACTCCTCTAACGAAATGCTTACCTGTGCCGTGGTATTGTTTTTGAAGCAGGAAGCTCGAAAAATCGCAAATTTCTTCTGAATATTGTGAAGTAAGGAGTGCACTTCAAACTTTGCCGATGCGCTCATCGTGATTTTTGAAACACTTTTTATGAGTAACAACTCTTGTTTTTGCTACAGCAAAAGTTTGCAACAGGCCCATTGCTCTGAACATTTATGTTTGCCTAGATAGGAGGTTCAAAAGTTTGAAATATTTCAATTTCAAGCTTGTGATCATGGCAATACTTTGGATATTATTTCTTGGCCATTCTCCGTTTGAATTTTATTGGTACATTAACAGTTTCAAAGTTCAGAGCTTTCCTTTTAAATTTTTGCAGTAACAAAGAGGTTAAAAAAATGATTTTATGTGACGTCATACATTTGCATTTAATTTTCAGAAAGAGTTCATGAAGGGGACATGCATAGAAGACACTCAACTTCACACACATCAGATATTCTGGAGAACAAACAAAATATGTCCCAGAGAGAGCAGTATTATGCTGCTATTCGTAAAGGTCTCTCTCCTGGCCGGGATCTTCAGAGCATGGAAAGACTACCAGGTAATTTTTATCACGGTTAACGCAGCTCTGATTATACTTTAGAATCTTACGTAGATATCAATCATTTCAAGTGTAAGAAGGAAATTGTACTCATTTGAAAGTCACGTAGTAGAGTGCTTTTCAATTCAAAATTAATGCATACAAGAAATTAACTCTAACAATCAATCTAGCATTTCCAGAAATATTTGACACCTCTTGAACAGCTTCTCCCTGGCATTCTGACACATTTAAATTTTAGAATTTAATATTAGTACTCTCTTAGCAATTTATTCAAGTTAAAACTCTGGAGAGTAGCTTCAGACTAAAAGGAGGATAAAAGTCCCAAGCATGAATGTTTCAGCCGCAAGTAGTCACCTGTAAATTGAGACAATGGAAAATTTGCACAAGAATATCTAAAGTATTACATGTATGTGTGTAAGAGTGCTTGAGAAGCTGAGTTGAAAATATCATGTGAAATCATAAGGCGATAGATTAAAATTTGAGGACATTTTATTGCCTTGAAATGTCTTTGAGCGGCATTTTCCATTTCAGCAGATTTAATCATGCTGTTATAACTTCTCCAGTAATTGTCCAATTTGAAACTTAACTCATTATCATCCTGGAGTTTCCATTTATAAGTGAAATTAAAGGAATTTCAAACATCTGCAAATCCTTGTTTGTGATATATTTAAACATGATTCATTGGTAGAATGGTAAAAAAGTATTTAATTGATGTGTATGTATGTTTCTTTTTTAAGTTGTGCGGGATAGAATATCATCACCTGCCTATATGGAAAGTTTTCTGTACCCAGACCATAGGTTGGCAAACATGGAGACACTGCAGCTGAAAAGTGTATGTTATTATTTCTTCTTACCTCTCCAGTAGATTAGTATGATGATTTCAACCTATTCTGTAGTTCCTGGGTTCTTTTTGAGATCCTATGATCCTCTGAACTGATGCCAAGGCATTATTTATCTCCNAAAAAAAAAAAAAAAAAAAACAGAAAGAATGAAGAAATTTCACTCGACAATTGATCTAATCCTTCATTCATTTCACATGCTAGTCAAGTAAAAAAAAATAACTTGGAAGATAAATCATTTTTCTGTGATTTTTTTCTTTCTAAATTAGCGTAAAATTTTAACTCTCTCAGTAAATGTTGTTCAAGCACCTAATTTCTGTACCAAGTATTTGATTGAAATTGAAATTAGCCTTTTTTCTGTTGGATGCAGTCAAATCGTGGAGAAAGGGAGTACGCAAGGATTAAAGGAGGGAAATACAATGGCAGCGAACCTGACTACTCAGGATCAACAACGGATCAGTACTCGGAGCTTGGTGTCAATACCAGGGATAGAATACCCCAAAGTAAGTATTACATGCTCCAGTAATATCCATCAGTTTTGAAACTAGGCACAAAATATAGATTCCAAAGACCATGAAACCAGATTTGTTATAAATATAAAAAAAACGCATTTAGGAGAAAAAGAGATTTCAAGTTTTAAATCGTCATGCTCAGGGTTCAAAATTGTTTAATCAAATGACATCTTTACACCCACTCTGAGCTTAGAAATTAAATGAAGGACTCGTAACTTATCTTTTTAGATGCTAGAAAGAATGTTCCATTCAGACATTAATTTCTGATTTTTTACAGAAATTGGCAAAAAAAAAGTCTCCGTCCTTTAAATTCTCTTTTGCCACTTTAGTGCCTCTTTAGTCACTTTTTGATCCTCTGATACTTTTTATTTCAACTAATTCTATTCGTAATGAATGTTTAAATAGAACAGGAATTATCAAATTGTGTTTTCTTCTTCCGTCTTTTCAGCCATTACATATCCAGAATCAAGTTCATCTCCGGAGCCATCCCCACTGATGGAAAGGCGGAGCCGTTGGTCAAAACCTCATGTTAGGTAAAAAGTAAGCCAAATGTTATGTATGTCCTTATTCAAGATCAGAAAATAATTACTAAACAAACTTAATTTTACCTTAGGTAAAGCAATGCCGGTCATCATAATATTGTAGGAGTCTGGGATGTGGACCATTTCTGGAGCACGCTATGTTAGTTCGCTTGAGAGGAGGGAGTCAGGAACTTTTTAGTTACAATTTTGGTCAAGTGCAGCTATAGCATCTCTCATCTCAAATTTTTTATCCCATCTTAATAATTTCAAATATTTTTCTAGCCATCAGAAATGTGTTCCGACGAGCTATTTAACTGGACAAAATTTAACAAAAATGCGCCATGCGCCAAATTGCATTTTGGATGAATATTAGTTTGGAGTAGTTTTGATATAAACTAGTCGCACATATTCTCCTATCAAACTCAATTGTTTCTTTTTAAATAATTTTCAAAGGACTCGTTAATACTATTTTGCCTCCTACATATTTTGTTTTGCGTGTTAGTATGTCGTATCCATGTTGATCTCTGCTTCATTCTTCCTGCAATTTTTTTTATGGGGCTTGTATCATCTCTATTTTCTTATTATTTGCAATCTCTTTTTTCCAGTAGTAATATTCCCTTCCAACAAGGCATCAATCATCTTGCCCTGTAGACTCTTTTAACATCTTGAAGTCTATTTTTGGTTGAACCGCCTCAGTGTTCTATTCAGGTTCTCCCTGTGATGTTTTTACGACTACTTTGTCTTCCTCCTATTGTGAAAATTACAATGAACCGATTATAAGTCTCCACGCTCAGCGCCAGCTACCCTGCATGGTTCCTCTTGCATTATTACAACATGTTTGTAACAATGAGTCGTGCTTGTCATTTTACAACTCATTCTCTTCCCATTTTCACTCACTCTCATTTTGAGACCCCTTAACCACTCTTAAGATTCTTCATAACTGGATACTGTGTAACTTAGTTTGCAAAGCTTGTCACTATTTCCCTTCCTCCTTTCATTTTGATGATATTGATGAAGTTCTAAACTATATTATAAGTAGATGCAATGTCAAAACTGGCCAAAGGTTGTAACAGATATTACACCTGGCATAGCTTCTTTTAATCACAGGAGCTCTGATCACTCATTAATTCAATGACTTTTTCTAGCTTGCCTCTCTTCCTCTTCTTTTTGCATTAAATTTAATCAGCTGACTTTTCATTTCTATGTTACAGGCGTGACGAAAGTTCTGACTTTTCTCTGTCTGCTCACTTAGCCCCTCCTCCGTGTGGATTTACAGATATGAACGAGCACAGTGAGGCAGAATGTGATATTTCTACCGTGGGGAAACTGAAGGTCTTCAAAAAGAAGATCCATCGCTCAAGTAAAAGCTCTCTATCTAGTCAAAAACCTCTGTTCTCGACCGAAGAGCACAATTTTACTATTGCTGTATAGTTAGATGAACAGTTGCTCTTTGGGATTTGTATCAAATTATTTTATTTTTCTGCCGCCTTCCATTTTTGTCTCCAAGTCAAACACCGCTGATGTTGCAACAGTAGGGTATTTATGAGTTAATTTCTGATCTACATATCAAATTTTGCCAAACATTTAATTGATTAGCCACTATTTTTTGTTCAAAAATTCCAGCTTCAACCGACAACTTGCCGAACATTCAATCATGAAAATGTGCATTTGCAAAAAGAATTTAATATCATGCGTCTTTAGAAAATCTTTGGCTCACCATCATTACAACTTAAAAGGAAAATTAACTTTTCACTTTGGAATACCAAAGTGATTAGCTACTATTTTTTGTTCAAAAATTCCAGCTTCAACTGACAACTTGCCGAACATTCAATCATGAAAATGTGCATTTGCAAAAAGAATTAAATACCATGCATCTTTAGAAAATCTTTGGCTCACCATCATTAAAACTTAAAAGGAAAATTAACTTTTCACTTTGGAATACCAACAAGCAAAGTAAAATGCGACATCTGATCTTAGTTGTTAAAACAAAACAGGTCTTTGGAATGAGTTTATTTTAACCATTTTAAAGATAGATTGCCACTCTGCACTGATGCTTTATCACTGGTGATTTGGATACAAATTGTCTGTCTCTTTTTAAATGTTAAACTTTGTTAAATTTTATTGATAGGATAAACTTATCAAAATACGCTTAAAATGGTTCCTAGTAGATATTTATTTCAGTTATATCTTACTTTTATGTGTTTTGTTTTTTCTTCTTCTTTTTTCATCAGTAAATTTGAATTTAATGAGGAATAAAAATCCTCCTCCTCCTTTTTTTCTTGCTTTTATTGTTTGTGGTGATGAACATTCATTATAGCAGATAGCTGGAATAAAGCTAGCACTTTTCATGTTTCAGTCATCAAATCAGGAACTTTTGATATTTTACAGAATTTCTAGTCATTTAATCAAAATAATTATACTTTACCTTGACTCAAAAGTTGCTTTTAGGGGTAGTTGTGCCAATAAATTTTACCTGAGTGTGCAATTTGATTCAAATAGACCATTGTTTTTCTTGTGAGTGCAGGATTCAAAATTCCCATAGTCAATGTAAACTAAAAATTGTAATATCTTAAGTATGTAAAAGTTGTTTTTGGTAATTTTTGTTGCAAGACGGGGGTTCCACATGAAATTTTGGCAAGGAATCAAGTACCAGAATGCTTAAATTTGCACATTGTCCAGTAGTCTATTTGTAACGAAGGGCTTAAATTATCTAACCAGAGGTTGCCATTTATTCTGTCATGAAAATGACAGTATGAAAGATCATTTAATGAGTATTTTACCCTCAGTTTAATGAAGTGTCATCTAAACATTTCTAAGTGTCAAGAGAAACCAATATGCCTTTATCTACATCGACTCCATGCTCAAGCTATTTCAAAATGTGAATATCAGTATCAAAATGTATTTCTCTGAGCATGTAAATACACGCCTTGCACTGCCCTTAAGACTGATTCAAAGCATCTGAATTTTGATGTTTCAAAATATCACAAAAACCAATCCACAAATACTTCTAATATTAATGCAATTTTACTTTCTTATAAACTTAATTGCTCATTTTTATACGTTTTTCGTTTGAGATCTTGTGTAGAGTCAATGCACTAATTTGGTTGGTTAAATACTCTCTCTTTAGTTCAGTTTTGTAAAATTTTTCATGTTTTAACTTATTGTGTACCTATCAATAGGTATTAGTCATTTTTTAAATTTTTTTTAAGAAATAAAAAATTAGACCAGGGAATTATGTACAGTATTGTTGCATATATTGATTTATTTGTACCTCTTTAAATTTTTTTATTAATAAATCTATTTTATATTTTTTACTGACAATTTTCTGCTTTATTTATCCTTGTAAAGCCCATCTCACGGTTTTTAGTGATATGTCAAGATTACCTGGCCAAATGTAAACCTAGATAATTCAGAGAGTTAGCCTTATTTTCAGTAGAACATGTATAATTTGATGAAATTTTAATTTTTGTATCCCAATTTCTCAGATATATTAATCAACATATGCCACTGTTGCCAAATTTGGATAGAGAAACAATTTACCTTTTACCTTTGAAAAGGGACTCTGCATTGTTCCCAATTGAGAACATATAATCATATAAATACAAACCTTGGGAGCAAGGAAAAATTATGAAAATATCCTTCCCCCTCATTCAATTAACATGCTTCCCTCCCCTGAAATTTTTTTTTGTCCACCCCTCCCATAAAATGATGAATATAAAATTGTCTGGAGAATCACTCCATACGCACTTTGGGGGCACCTGCAGCCTGCACCACAGACTCCGCTAAAGGGCATAAGCATCATTTATTACATGTACAGGCTAAAATTGATCAAGTTTTCATAATTTAAGAAAAGCAAGGACAATTAATGATTCTTGTAGGTGCTTATTTATTTATTTATTAATTTATTTATCTATTTATTTACAAAATATAAACGAACTAAAGTACAAAGAATTAACCATTTAAATTTACTTGATATCTGTATGCTCATACCATCAGGGTACCTAACCTGACAATATTTTCAAGGACACATGAACAATTGTAGCAGATAGAATGTGTAACGCAGTCTGAAGGATTTCCAGCATAATGGAGCATTCAGCTCAAAAGTTTACTAACAAAAATTGACGTAAATAATTCTAATTGCTAAGAAGAAAAATTGTACTTTGATCAATACTCCTACCATAATACTGAAAAAACGGTTAATTTTTTTTTTTTTTTTTTTTTTTTTTTTTTAAATGCAAAACCGGACAAGTCCTCACAAATAAAGTATCCACCCAGGCATTTTCACGCATGTCGTCTCATTTGACTGTCCACTTGCAACCTATCGATCACTAAAAAATAAGTGTTTAAAAAACATTTTCTGATTTTAAAGGATGTTCATCTTGGTTTTTTCTACTTATGAGGAAGTCATTCTGATTTAAAGAACATTTTTTCACTTATTTATCTTCAGCACAACCCAGTTTTTGTTACTATTATTCATACAAAATTCAATTTGTCATCGATGACTTCTGTCCACAAGTGAGGGTTTTCTTACATCTATTTTACAAAGACCTAATTATAATGAGCAGAAAATTAAAAACTGCTCCAGCGAGCAAATTCAAGTAAAACATTTAAAAATATATAAATATGTCACAGGAACCTTTCTTTAAATATCAAAGAAATATTTTATTTAGAGCCAGAAAACTTGTCTGTAAACCAAAAGAAGTATGGTTTCAATTATTAAATTTTTATATTTTATTAATATTTCTATAAATCAATATTTTTTTCAGTGTCTGTTATATTTTTTGGTCGAAAAAAGGGAAAAAATTGTTTTAAACATTTTTTAGTACTTTTTTCTGTATTTCCTGAGGAAAATGCAGTGATCAATCAGGGTTGAGTCTTAACGGTCTGACAGCCTCCAAGGAGTAGATCCTGGATGAGGCTATCGATGTGGGCCAAATTGCAGAGATTGGCGACCCTGATCTGGACGACCATTTGGTCCGAGATGGACTGGAGGCCTGGGAGGATACAGCATAGGATGTTCATTGCTCGTCCCGCACTGTCAGCTCGCTCCGCGATGTACTGCTCCAAGTTCACCTCGATCTCCGTCCGGAACGCTTGCACTTTTTCCTCGTCAATCAGGCCATCAGCCTCTGAAATTAAGATCAAGAGTCTCGTGAGTTAATGGAAAATTAATACGATTTACCCAACCCAACACTTAGTCTAGCGAGAAAAAACACTGAGAAAATGGTTCTACCGTACGTAACAAGGTGGAAAAATGGAGTCTAGACCTTAGTCTAAACCCTTAGTCTAGACTTGAGGCTTCCTATCATTAAGGTGCTGGGAGCGATCAGGGCCAAATGCAAAATTTCACGAAATTCTATGAAATGTAATTTCGTAAAGATGTAAGATTTTTTTTTAAAATTTCCTGCCATGGATTCGGTATGCCAAGATTTTTGCAATTAAAAAAACAAAAAAAAAACAAAAAAAAAAACAAAAAAAAAACCTAATGAGTCGAATTTTGAAATTTCGTATCACATTATTGAATAATCGTCGCGGGTTGCATACGCAGCCCCTGAAAAATCGTTGAAATTTCAGGTAAACTTACATACAATTTCATTCCACGAAATTTCATCCTGCATCTCTGGCAGAGACACCTCTTGGTTTCGATGTTTCGGAATCGCCTTAGCTAATGCTATAATTGATATCAATAAACGAACATGACACAACTGCTGCAAGCAACAATCACTGCTCCCTAGCCACTCATATTGCCAAACAAGAAATTGAAGGCGAACTGGTCGCTGCGAGTGAGAAACAATGGGAGTGAATTATTGAACCGCTAAAGCTAACCTGGCCGAAATGCTGCAGGCAAATATCACTACTCTCAAGCCACTCAGGTTGCCTGTCGAGATATTGAAGGCGAACTGGTCGGAAAAAGTGGGAAACAATGTGAATGAAGTATAAGCTGCTTCAGCAATGAATGAATGTGGCCGAAATGCTGCATGAAAATATCACTTATCTCAAGCCACTCGGGTTGCCTGTCGAGATATTGAAGGCGAACTGGTCGGGAACGGTTGGAAACAATGTGAATGAAGTATTAAGCTGCTTCAGCAATGAATGAACGTGGCCGAAATGCTGCAATAAACTATTTCTGCGCCCAAGCCGCTCACATTGTCTATTAAGATATTGAAGGCGAACTGGTTTGAACGAGTGAGAAACAAAGTTAGTAGAGAAATGCAGCGAAAGCTGAGCAACAAAAAAACTGAAGAACAAAATGTTCTGACATTTTGAAGCGCCCTTCGGGGGTCCGGTGACTTAAATGTAAGGAGGTGACTCCCTATTTTCTTAGGCTTCCAACACTAACCTGGGTTGAAAAATAGAATGGCTTTCAGGCAGGCGAATTCGGCCTCATCAATGTTCAGTTTGTTGAGATTCTTCACGATTTTATCCATGACCGAAGCTCCGATGTTGCTGATGTCTAGTTCGTTCTCAGCGGTTGGATCTGAAACAATGAAGCGTTTTATGAACGATGCGCGCAAGTCTCCGAATCTTATCCCTCAAAATGCGCTTCAAGTGTGAATGCCCTAATTTGCTTGTCATCCTGCCATAAGTGAAAAGCGGGGGAAGGGGGTGGTCCTCTAGAAATCCACATGGTCCCTCTTAGGAAATGTGGGGGATTCTGCGGAATAATAGTGTTCCATTTCCGTCGTCTTATTTGTATTCTAATATATATTTCAGTGGGTAAGAACAAATGGAGATGTTGCATGTGTAAGGAATTTGCGATTTGATTGTTGATTCTTTTGTAAAAGTTCGCGAGAAACACGATGGTGCCACTGGTTTTCTCTGAAATCAACTCCCAAGCTCAGAAAAAGCTCTCAAGTTGAGGCCAAAATGGAGGGGATATCCCACGCTATCCTGAAAGTCCACCTCTACATCAAGGCAAACTCTCCATGCAAAGTTAGGGAACAAATACATTGACAGGGCTGTCACCCTGTTTGAGGACTCCAAAACTGGGATCACGGCAACCCTGCTAATGTATTTGCTCCTTATCTTCGCATGGAGAGTTTGTCTTGATGTAGACGTGGTCTCTCAGGATAGCGTGGGATATACCCTCCATTTTGGCCTCAACTTGTTACTTTTTTGAGCTTGGGAGTTGATTTCAGAGAGAACCAGTGGCACCATCGTGTTTCTCGCGAACTTTCACCTACGAATCAATTGTCAAATCGCAAATCCCTCACACATGCAACATCTCCATTAACAACTCAAAATTGTCTGTGAGACGTGTCAACGTTTAAAAATTGGACGTAGTTCTACCGAACAGACCTATGTGGAAGTGAGAAATATGGGGTGTGCTCGTTAGTCTCTGGCCGTAAGAGTGAATGAGAATAATAAAGCGCCAGTGACGTCAGCGGCAATGATCAAGCTCCCGCGCGAGGGCAAGATCGTCGTCGGGGCGCTGTAACTCATGAGCCCTGTCCACAACGCTCTCTTGCCATGCCCGCGGCTCATGAGTTCCGCACTCAGCTGCACATAGGTCTGTTTGATAGAATGCAATATCCCGCTTTGCCAATTCTTCAAAAGGAACCACGCCCACTTTTACATTGCTTCTTATGCAGATTTCTAGAGCACACCCCACATTTCTCATCGTCACATAGGTCTGTTTGGTAGAAATACGTCCAATTACACCTAGGAAGCCCTGCGGACCCCATTTAGCTCCTATGGATGGAGCTAGAGGAGCCCTCCAGACCTCTCTTGGTGGAACGTTTCCCTGTACCCTGATAAGTTGCCCCCCTTCTCCCCCTTCCCAAAATTCAATATCGCTATACTGACGCAGAGGCTCAGGAAAGCCATTTTTCCCCGGTAATCGACTACCAAAAATCCGAATTTGACAATCCTGAAGACCCACGAACATTTCCTCATGTAATACAGAGGGTCTGAAATTTTGTAAATTTTCCAAGTTTAGGTGTCTGCTGGAGCACATCAGAAAATGTTTGGGAGGCTTCGATACTGTCAAATATGGATTCCTAGCGGTCAATTCCCGAAAAGAATATCTCTTTGCTGAGCCTCTACCTCATACGATTACGGGTAAAATTTCCAGTAATTTCTGAGTCTGACGGAATAATTTAAAAACTTTGAAGGGAACCCGAACTTTTAAGGTCATGACTTCCCTTTTACCTCCCGAGGGGGAAAGGGACCAGGGTCTTACTGGCTCGCATCTGAGGGCGTCGACCCTTGGCTGGTTAAAGGGGCGTAATGTAATATTTTCCTGTACCTAGGGCATCCCGTGGAGAGGAGTTCAGAAAATTTTGGCAAAGCGGCACAAGTTCACGCTATTTTTAGGATCAAAATTTATTTATCGTACGGAGTAAAAATCGCAAAATTAAACGTATCGAAGTAACCGACGGACTTCCGCAATTAAGGAAAACATAAAAAATTAAAGCCACTAGACACTAGACACATCTAAGCACCATTCTTTCCAAAAAAAACCGAGCCAGTGCTGCGTTTTACACAAGCTTAAGACGTGGGTCTGCAAATCCATCCTAAAAGGAATCAGACAAGAACCTGAAAAAAAAAATGAACAAGTATCAACACAGCCAAAGGTAGGAGAGATGAGTTCGGCCTCTTTTTTAACTTTTCTCCCGAATCTGAGCGACACCTCATTGACAGCATATAGCGGAGCATTGAGAGCTCACGATTCGCGTCATCGCGCCTTCAGTTTTTCAGATGCAGCACGGACGTCCATCAAGTACGAATAGTTGTATCTCTACGCTGTCGTAAACGCACAACCTTTCCTTCCCTTTATTTCCATATTGTGTTATTTGTGTTTGTTTGCGTTTGTCTTATTCGTAATGGTGCTTCAAGCACTACGTGAATAACACAGCCGAAGGTAGGAGAGATGTGTTCGGGCCTCTTTTTTAACTTTTCTCCCGAATCTGAGCGACACCTCATTGGCAGCATAGGTATAGCAGAGCATTGAGAACTCACGCTTCGCGTCATCGCGCCTTCAATTTTTCAGATGCAGCACGGACGTCCATCAAGTACGAATAGTTGTATCTCTGCGCCGTCGTTAACGCTCATCCTTTCCCTCGCTTAATTTCCATATTGTGTTTGTTTGCGTTTGTCTTATTCGTTATGGTGCTTACAACTAATAGCATAGAGCAGCGCATTGTGAGTTCACGACTCACGTCATCGCGCCTTACATTTTTCAAATGCAATGTGGACATCTATCTAGCGCAAATAGTTGTATCGCGTTTACACTTTTGATGCCTCTTATTTTTTCATTTCGAGGTAAATACAGGTTTTTTTGCCCAAGATATGCTATGGTATGTCTAAATCAATAGTAATTTTGCCAAGGAATAAATGTGTTTAAAGGTCTCTCGCAAGAGGTCTGGTCTATAAAGGATGCGTATATCTAAAAATCGAACCGACCATCGCTTCTAAGGGAATGACACATAGCGAATGAAGGAGGGGAATGATAAAGCGCCCGTATGTCAACAAAAAGGTGAAAATTTCAGAGAAAAATGTTTACGCTTCAGAAAGTAGTTCTTGGACCTCTGTTCACCACTATCATGCGTAAAGGCACCTTTCTTTACTCCTAACTCTCTCTTCTTCCGTTCATTTAAGAAATTTTCCGCATTTATTCTCGGTCGTAATTTTTTTTCTCTCCTTATTTTGCTATCTGTCAGAGGGGCGAGTTTTCGGCACTCCAAGGGGGCTTATCTGCCAATGGCAGAATGGCCTCATTGCCAGTCCGACCCTAAAAGGGACCATTGGTGCAATGCATATATTTCACTCTTCCCCATTCAAATCCATTAGGAATAATAATTGGACAACATTTTTTCCATTATAAACTACTATTTCTGTCTCGTTACAAAAACAACACACGTGCTATCAGTTTCTTTACTCAGAAAGGTGCTTTTATAGATGAGCCAAAAACGTTGCTCAGTATTGCTCAGTGGTGCTTCTCGCAAGTTCGAAACACCGTTTTCCCTGATTTTAATTCCATTATAAATATCGATTCCAGGTAAGACAGCCTGCTTCAATGGATACCGATTGTTTTACATTAAATGGAGCAAAACCAGTGCTGCCAACTTCCAAGAATCGCCACTGATTGCCAACTTAAAAAATCACCACTTGTGAGCATGTACCTGAAACATATCTACTGATGATGCAATCGTTGCCAAGAAGTAGTACGTCCTTCAGATGCTGCGACCTTCGCGCCACCGTCAAAAGCAAATGCTTACTAGCATACGATCTCAGGAGTGCAACCTATAACATACACGAACATTCTGACATGAAAAATTCTTATTTGACCTAATAAAATATCGACGGTGAAATCCAAAACCAAATATCTCGTATCGCTTTGAGAACACCCACAAACCTCCTCTTAAAATTGAGATTTTTTTTTTTTTTTTTTTTTTTTTTTTTTTTTTTTTTTTTTTTTTTTTTTTTTTAAGATCATTTATGAATTCAGGGCATAAAAGTACAGAAAAGTACAAATTTTCATGAGATTTAGTTTACAACCGTTGTTGTCAAAATTTAGGAAAAACTATTTACTTTCCGAAATTTTGGGGGGCCGTAGCTCCGACTGGGGGCACTTTTGGAAAAAACTTTACACAACAAAAAAGTCTTATTTTGACCCACAGAACACGCTCCTGCAGTCTATTAAACCCTGGATAACCCTGTCTACGCGCGTACACAATTCAAAATAATGTCCTGGTTGGGTGAGAGTGGCTTCCGTAAAAACATTGTCTGATGCAGATGTTGAATATTACGGTCAGTTTAGGCGAGGTAACCTGCCTCGATAAGAATCGATTTTTTACATACATTTAAATGGAAAAAACGAAGAGTCGTTAAACTATAGAGGTCGACAATGACACTCACCTGATCATCGAAGACAAGCTGCCTGAATGCCTCGATGTGTTTGGACCACTCGACCAAATTGATGAGCTGCTGTCTCATCGAATCACAAATGTCTACGACGTTGGCGACTCGCTTGAAACTCATGTCCACCTCATCGCTCTGAAACAGATCGCACGACAATCAGAAAGTGAAAAAATTTTCAGTTTATTCTCTACCGCCTAGCGTCCATCAGGGTCGGACTGGCTCACATCTGAGGGCGTAGACCCTTGGCTGGTTAAAGGGGCGTAATATGATATTTCCTGAGAGGGCATCCCCTTCGTGGAGAGGGGTTCAGAAAATTTTGGCAAAGCAGCACAAGTTTACGCTATTTTCAGGTTCAACGTTTTTTAATCGTACAGAGTAAAAATTGTAAAATTGAACATATTGAAGTAACCGACAGACTTCTGAAATTGAAGAAAACAAAAAAAATTAAAGCCACTAGACGCACCCAAGCACCATTATTTCCATAAGAACCGTGTCAGTGCTGCGGTTTACACGAGCTTAAGACGTGGGTCTAAAAATCCATCCTGAAAAAGAATCAGGCAAGAACCTGAAAAAAGAAGAAAGAATGAGTATCAACACAGCCGACGAAAAGAAAGACGTATTCGGGCCTCTTTTAAAATTTTCTCCCGAATCTGAGCGACACCTCAAATGCAGCACATAGCAGGGCATTGAGAACTCACACTTCGCGTCATCGCGCCTTCAATTTTTCAGATGCAGCACGGACGTTAGGGTGTGCCTTATTTTTGAGTTTTGCGAAAATCAAGTTGGTCAACCCCTAAAAAGTTTCTATGTAGTCTCTAAATGAACCCCCTAAAAGGAAAAAAATTTAAAAAAATTTTAACCCGTGCCTCAAAGGGCCTAAAGGGCCTAAACCCAAAATTCAAAAATTTTGGCAAGCGACACATCAATTCTGAAGGAAAATGGCAAGTTATGGCCCTTCTAGACCAGAAATTTCGTCCGTTTTGCCGTATCTTGAAGCGTAAGGTCACAAACGGCCCAATGACGACGTGAGGCTATGGGCTGGCGGGGCGCGCCGCGGCCGGCCCGCCGCTGAGCGTGCGCGCGCGGCAGGGTTGCGTATCGCCGCTTTACAACGGCGTAGAGGAACGAACGGTGGGGTGGGAGGGGGATATCCAGTGGAAAAGCATCCACATTTTCTATCCATATTGAAAATGCATTATACTTTTTCAATATAGATGAGGAAATATGAGCCATACAAGGAAGTGATGAAAAGAGTGACAAATACATTTATAGTTTGTACGGTTAGGAGTGTAAGTGGGGAAAATTTGCCATAACTACAGAACAGCCCTGAAAATCTCCGGGAAATAAAAGCTGCTATTGATGAGAGGTTTAATTAAGGACTAATTAAAAAGATAGGTGCGATGTTGTCGAATCGTAAGCCCTTTACGCGACCAAAAGCGATTAGTGTAAATTTAATTGGAAAAGTTTAAGAAAAATTTGATGAAAGAAAATTGCCCCAAATTCTGGAAGTGCTTAAAGTGTTTTTCTATTATGTGAAGTTTTCGCACATTAATGTCAATGGCGGTGCGTCAAAAACCTCTGATCTTGTA